ACATAGGGAGCTCCACCGAAGGCCCCAGCGCCACCGCCCGCATGCGTCCGACACAACAACTTCGACACACCCCTCACACGTTCCACCAAAAGGTCCCAGTTCCACCGCCCGTGTGCATCCGCCACACCCGTTTCAGCACACCCCTCACAAGTTTCGTGGCCCCAAAGGGAGCCCCACCGAAGGCGCCAGTGCCACCGCCCGCATGCGTCCGCCAGACCCGTTTCGGCACACCCCTCACACGTTTCGTGGTCCCTTGGGGAGCTCCACCGAAGGCCCCAATGCCACCGCCCGCATGCGTCCGCCACACCCATTTCGGCATACCCTCACACGTTTCGTAGCACCATGGGGAACTCCACCGAAGGCCCCAGAGCCACCGCCCGCATGCGTCCGCCACATTCATTTCGGCACACCATCATACGTTTCGTGGCCCTACATGGGGGCTCCACCGAAGGCTTCGGTGGCAGGGCCCGCACGCGTCCTCACCACTCATTTCGGCACACCCTTCACACGTTTCGTGGCCCCTAGGGAGCTCGAGCGAAAGCCCCAGTGGTAGGTCCCGCATGCGTCCTCACCACTCATTTCGGCACACCTCTCACTAGTCTCGTGGCCCCATAGGGAGCTCCACCGAAGGCCCCAGTGGCAGGGCCCGCTTGCCCCCCCTCGCCCATGTCGACACACCCCTCACACGTTGCGTGGCCACACAGGGAGCTCCACCGAAAGCATTATTTACAATTGCGTTTCTCCCAACTGCATATGGTTGGGTCCGTCGCCACGCTGATTTAGATGCGTTGGAGGTGTTCTTGCTGCAGCCGCTTGCTCGAGCGGCCGGGGCGCGCGCGCGCGGGCGCGCCTGCGGGGTCGCGATGGGCGCCGAGGCGGGCACGGCGCCCGGGTCGACGAGGACGCCCGCGTCGCGCGGGAGCCACCGCCGCCGCGGCGTGTCGCCGCCCCTCGTCGTCGCCACGGAGCGGCGTGGGCCTCACCCCCAGATCTCAACGATGTTGCTTGTTTCCGCCAGCAGGTTTTCCTTATAGTAGCGTCTCGCTAGAGGGCTTCAGTCTAGGCCTCCCAGATGGGGTCCGAGTGGACAGGGTCGGAGGGTCACGCCTCGATGTTGAGCCTGATTTTCTTTACGTCGACGTCGCCGATACATCGCCGATGCATCGGGGATGCATTCGCGATGCGGCGCGATCCTCCTGCCCCACCTGCTCGAACCCCATCTGGGAGGCCTTTACCTGATGGAGGTGGACAAGGGTTTTAGACGGGTCCCACGGGGGAGCCTGGGAACGCCTCCCTAGATCGCCAGGTCCAGCAGCCGTTCGCCCCAAGTTCTCCTGACAATTTCTTGCGAAGGTTTTACGGCTGGTGCCGCCGACCCTGAATGGACGACGACGACGACGACGACGATGACGACGACGACGACGACGGCGACGACGACGACGGCGGCGGCGGCGGCGGCGACGACGACGAGGATGGCGACGACGATGGCGACGACGATGGCGATGGCGATGGCGATGACGACGCTGACGCTCTGGAGCCAGGAAGGGGTGCTCACCCCCAGGAGGGGGCGGGGGGGGGGTCACAACTCTTGAGACCTCCCCACACACCCCAACCCATCCCACCTCTGACCCCTCCGCCGACGACGAGGATGGCGACGACGATGGCGACGACGATGGCGATGGCGATGGCGGTGACGACGCTGACGCTCTGGAGCCAGGAAGGGGTGCTCGCCCCCAGGAGGGGGCGGGGGGGGGGGTCACAACTCTTGAGACCTCCCCACACACCCCAACCCATCCCACCTCTGACCCCTCCGCCGGGACCCCTCCCCGCCCCCCGGGACCCCCCCCGCCAGACGGGGAAGCGATCAGGGGTTTTCTTCCGACTCGAATGCGACGTTGCCCGATTTCCCGGCCAGGACGCTTGAGGGGGAGCGGCGGCGACGTCGACGACGACGACGACGACTCAAACGGAAAAGCCTGTCGATTCAGGAATCGTGCACTCCCATCAATGCGGGTAACATGTTCTGTCCAGGCGACCACGGTTCATTGGCACAGCATACATTATGGTGCACATGACTGTGAGTTCCCGATGGATCCCCAGGAATACCTGGGGATGCACGTTTGCACTGTCCGACCGCCTACTCCTCGACCCGCCTCTTCGCCTTCGCTGCTACTAGGGTGTTCTGCTTAGATTAATGTCCTAGATGTCGGCCCAAGGGGGCAGTATTCGGGCCCTGGAACCATCAAACATTGATCCAGGCCGGGACGACAACTAACCCCTTGGGGAAGCGGTCAGGATTTTTGGGGCCGCGGATGGGAAGTTAGCTTGGCGAAGGATCCAACCATATGCAGTTGTGAATACCGCAGTTGTAGGTCTCTTCTTCGGTGGTGCCCCCTTATCGGGCCACGAAGCGCTGTAGCGGGCAGGGGAGACGCATGCGGGCTGCGACACTGGGACCTTCGGTGGAGCTCCCCATGGGGCCACGAAGCGCTGTACTGGGTGGGGGAAACGCATGCGGGCTGCGACACAGAGCTTCGGTGGAGCACCCCATGGAGCCACGAAGCGCTGTACTGGGCTGGGGAGGCGCATGCGGGCCGCGCCGCTAGGACCCTCAGTGGAGCTCCCTACGGGGCCGCGAAGCGTTGTACTGGCGGGGGGCGCATGCAGGCTGCGCCACCGGGACCTTCGGTGGAGCTCCCTATGGGGCCACGAAGCGCTGTACTGGGTTGGGGAGGCGCATGCGGGCCGCGCCGCTAGGACCCTCAGTGGAGCTCCCTACGGGGCCGCGAAGCGTTGTACTGGCGGGGGGCGCATGCAGGCTGCGCCACCGGGACCTTCGGTGGAGCTCCCTATGGGGCCACGACGCGCTGAAATGGGTGGGGGAGACGCATACGGGCTACGCCACTGGGGCCGTCGGTGGACGAAGCGCTGTACTGGGTGGGGGAGGCGCATGCGTGCTGCGACACTGGGACCCTCGGTGGAGCTCCCTGGGGGCCACGAAGGGCTGTACTAGTTGGGGGAGACGTATGCAGGCTGCGCCACTGGAACCTCCAGTGGAGCTCCCTTTGGGGCCACGAAGCGCTGTACTGGGTGTGAGAGACGCATGCGGGCTGCGCCACTGAGACCTTTGGTGGAGCTCCCCATGGGGAGACGTATGCAGGCTGCGCCACTGGAACCTCCAGTGGAGCTCCCTTTGGGGCCACGAAGCGCTGTACTGGGTGTGAGAGAGACGCATGCGGGCTGCGCCACTGGAACCTTCGGTGGAGCTCCCTATGGGGCCACGAAGCGTTGTACAGGGTGCGGGAGACGCATGCGGAATGGTAGCACTGGGGCCGTCGGTGGAGCTCCCTATGGGGCAGCGAAGCGCTGTACTGGGTGGGGGGTACGCATGCGGACGGTAGCACTGGGACCGTCGGTGGAGCTCCCTATGGGGCCACGAAGCGCTGTACTGGGTTGGGGAGGCGCATGCGGGCGGTAGCACTGGGGCCGTCGGTGGAGTTCCCAATGGGGCCACGAAGCTCTGTACTGGGTGGGGGGGACGCATGCGGGTGGTAGCGCTGGGACCTTCGGTGAAGCCCCTTATGTGGCCCCGAAGCGCTCTACTGGGCAGAGGGGACGCACGCGAGCGCTAGCGCTGGGACCATCGGTGGAGTTCCTTTTGGGGCCACGGAACGCTGTGCTGGGTGTGTGTGTGTGGGGGGGGGGGGCGCACGCAGGCGGTAGCATTGGGGCTGTCGGTGGAGCTCCCAGTGAGGCAGCGAGACGCCGTGCTGAGTAAAATATGCATGCGGGCAGTACCATTTAAACCTGCAGTAAAGCTCCTTATAAACTATGAGGCCACGAAGCGCTGTACTGGGCGGGGGCGACGCGTGCAGGCGGTAGCACTGGGGACGTCGGTGGGGCTCCTATGGGGCAGGGAAACGCTGCACTGGGAGGTGGGGGGGGCGCATGCGGGCGGTAGCGCTGGGACTTTCGGTAGAGCTCCCCATGGGGCCACGAAGCGCTGCATTGGGTGGGGGAGACGCATGCGGGCGGTGGCACTCGGGCCGTCGGTGGAGCTCCCCATGGGGCCGCGAAGCGCTTTTCTGGGTGGAGGGGGCGCACGCGGGCGGTAGCACTGGGACCTTCGGTGGAGCTCCCCATGGGGCCACGAAGTTCTGCACTTGGTGGCGAGGACGCATGCGGGTGGTACCACTGGGGCCGTCGGTGGAGCTCCCTATGGAGCCACGAAAGATGAGAGGTCGCAGATGATGACGATGCTGATGCTGCTGCTGATGCTGATGTTGATGATGATGATGCTGCTGCTGTTGATGATGATGATGATGATGATGATGGTGATTGTGATGGTGATGGTGATGGTGGTTGTGATGACGACGATGATGAGAAGAGGGAAGAGGGGAGGAGGAAGGAAGGAAGAAAGGAATGCGGGGACCGCCTCTTCAAAACGAGGACCCAACACCACAGGATGGCTGGGACAAATCATTTGTTGGTGGATGTCATGGCACACGGGCGCCGTGGGGAAACGAGCCACATATACCTGCACATACCCACACACCCACACACACACACGCACGCACGCAAGCACACACACACACACGCACGCACGCGCCCACACACACACACACATTCACACACACGCACACACACACACACACACACACGCCCCCCCCCACACACACACACACACACACACACACACACACACACACACACACACACACACACACACACACACACACACACACACACACACACACACACACACACACACACACACACACACACGCAAGCACGCGCACACGCACACGCACACGCACACGCACACGCACACGCACACGGACACGCGCACGCGCACGCACACGCGCGCACACACACACACACGCGTAGCCAGTTTGGTTCAAGCCTGCCTTGGGCGCCAGGGCGGGCGAGGAGCGCGGCTTGCCTCTCCCTTCGTAGGAGAGAGCGGCTCTGTCTCTTTCCCCCTTGGTGCGGCCCCCGCGATGGCGACGGGCGTCGAGGCGATGGACCTACGGTCGAACGGGAGCGCGGGACTGATCATGGCGATGGCCGTCCAGGGCGTTGCTCAGGGCGCTGCGGCGAGCGGCACATCACAACAAGCAATCGCGGCCGCCGTGACTGCGGCGCTACGCACGGCGTGGGCGCTTCTGGCAGGCGCCGACTCCGAGGAGGACGCCGAGCTTGCGATGCGCTGGCAGGCCATGCAGCCCGCTATGCGCCAGCAGGTGCACGGCGCCCCGCTATGCGGCGGAGCCCGCGCCAGGCGCAACGTCGGGGCACACGTCGGCCTCGGCAAGGGCGTCGAGGCCCTGCGGCAGGCCTTGGCGCGGCCGCAGCACGCCCAGCGTGGCGGGCGCTGCGGGCCCCGAAAGAAGCAGGCGGCGTCCCAGAACCACATCGTGGACGACCCCGAGGCGCGCGAGGACGCGGGGGAGGAGGAACACCAGCGCCCCTTCGAGAAGGACGCGGTGCTGGGCGAGTTCCCGCCCTCCCCGCAGCCCAGCGCGTCGGCCACGCCGACGGCGTCCAGATGGAGGGCGGCACCAGCATGGGCATCAGGGAGCCAGACGTGGACGATTGCAAGGGCACCGACCAAGTCGTCGGCACCCCCGAGGGCGAGGTCAACGACAAGGAGGGCGCGACGGAGGTGGGCGGGTACCCCTTCGACGTCGTGCGCCCCCTCGGGGGCGGCAGCCAGGTCATCTCGCAGGCGACCGACGGCCCCGTTGAGGTCGCCCCCCTCTCCGAGGACGTGGTGCGCGGCCAGACCGCCGCCGAGACGGAGGTCGTGCGAGGCCGCCGCGGTGCGCCGCCGAGGGCGGCGAGCGTGTGCGTTGCAGCCCGTGGCAAGGGCGCAGCTGCGCCTCGTACGGGGGCCCGTGCCAGCAGCGCAGACTGGCACCTCGTGCGCCCGCGGTGGCGGCCCTCCCGAGGGTGACGCTTCGACCTCGCGCAGGCGGTGCGGCTCACCGAGCCCGTGGTGCCGCCGCCCCTCGCCTCGGGTCTACGCTGGTGGAAACAGGACGTCGGCGAGGCCAGCGCGAAGGTGCGCGAGGATCCCGTGATGCAGGGCCGCCTCTGCGAGGCGGCTCCCAAGGGCAGGACAGCGACATGGAGCCCGCCGCCCAGCCCCTCCCGCCCTCCACCCGGCGGCAGAGGCGGCGCTGGCAGCAGCAGGGGGGCGAGGAGGCGGCGGACAACGGTTTCGTCCTCCCCTCGGTCCTCGCCCAGATGGAGGAGTCGGTCGAGGCCCAGCGGCGGGCCCAGGCCAGCCACGTGGATGAACTGGCCAAGATGCTTGCCCTCCGAGCGCAGGAGCTGACCGTGGCGTTGCGCTGCGGAGCGGTGGGCGCCGTTGACGAAGCCAAGGCGCGCTTGAGGGCGGCCGTGGACCAGCGTCGTCAGGCCGCGGCCCAGTTCGACGGCAAGATGGCCCTCCTCGAGCAGCGGCGCGAGGCTCTGCAGCGAGCCTTGGAGGGTTCTGCAGCGAGAGTGCCAGCGGCGCGGGTGGCCTCATGAAGCGGCCAGGAGGCGTGCGAGGCCGGTGGCCCGCGGTGCGCCTCTGAGAGGCCCCCAGCGGTAGATTTGCTGCCCCCTTGGCGCGGTTTCCGCCGTGGCTGAGGGGCCTGAGGGGCGGTCCGTCCCTTGGGGTGCCTGGGCCCGCATTCGCCGTTGGCGGGGCCGGGGCTCGGCGGAGCAGCCTCGCATTTTTGTGCCGCCCTCGGCACTGTCGTGCTTAGGGGCCTGGGGTGGGGTGTGGCCCCCAGTGGGCCCTGGATCCGCCACCCTGGGGCCCTGGGGTGCTGGGGGGGGCGCATCCCTTCGCACGGCGGGCGGGGAGTCGGTGGCCCCCCGTCGTGGCTCAGTAGGCCTGGCGGGCCGAGAGCGCAGCGCAGGGCCTGCTGGCCCGAAGGCTGCGGCGAGGCGCGGGCGCCCCACAGTGCCCGATCACCAGAATCACCAGAATCACCAGAAACACACACACACACACACACACACACACACACACACACACGCACGCACGCACGCACGCACGCACGCACGCACGCACGCACGCACGCACGCACTCACTCCCACCCACACACATGTTTTGGCGTCGTGGCCACGCGCGCAGCGGCACGGCGAACACGCGTCGGAGAAGCGCGTGCACCAGCCTTGCCCACGCGGCGAGGAGGCACTGGATCCACTCATAAGGGGTCGACACCGACACTCACGGGGGGGCAGCCGTGAGGGGACAAACGAGGGCAAGGGGAGGGAAGGGGAAGCAGGGAAAGGGACAGCCGAAGCAGTATATACTGCAATGCCCCACCTGCTAGCGAGAAACAGAGGGAAGCGGCAACGGCAGCCACCCGATGCAGAAGACCAAACCAGCGTGGGAACATGGCTCAACTGGCGGAACAAGGGACAAACGACGCCTGAACAGGTAGTCCGAGAGCACAAACGCACACACACAGACACACACAGACACACACACACACACACACACACACACTCACACACACACACACACACACACACACACACACACACACACACACACACACACACACACGCACACACACACACACACACACACACGCAAAAGCACACACACACACACGCACGCGCGCGCCGTTGTTGTTTGTTGTTGACCGGGCCTGGGCCCTCGGGGCCGTCCGATACAACCAGGTCCGAAGAATTTAGTCTAGAGGAGGGGTAGAAGAGAGAGAGAGCGGGAGAAGGAGGTAGAGGGGGATGAAAAGCTGACGGAAGAGAGAGACAGAAAGAAAAAGAGAGAGAGAGAGGAGCCAGAACAGAAGGGGGTTAGGAGGAGCGGGAAGGGGGCGGGCTGCGGAGGAGGAACTAGGAGAGGATGGAATGAGGAGGATGGGTCGGGGTAGGAGGAAGACAGGGAGGTAGCTGGAAGGAGGCGGTGGGAGAGGGCGGAAAAGGAGCAAGTGAAGGGGAAGGTTGGATAAGGAGGATGAGGAGGAAAATGAGGAGGAGGAAGAGCATGAGAAGGTGGCATCGCCCAGTTCCAACACCGAAAATAGCGGCGCTGGCAGCAGCAGCAGCTTCCAGCAGGCAGCCGCAGCAGCTACAGCAGCAGCAGCAGCAGTAGTCATTGGCAGTGGCAACTACAGAATATCTAACTGTGGAATGGCGCAGCCGATCTCTACAAGTCTTCTGTTCACCCTCGTCTCGTCGCCCAAGCGCGCGTGCTGGCAAGCTGGTGTGACGATACGACGCGGCCGCCGAGCGCTTACGGCCTGGAGCCTGCATATTACACCCAGACCTCCAGCGGATCAGTTTGTTTAACTCTATGGGCCCAGGAGCTCCCGTCGCCCTCCCCCAGGGCTGGCCCCTGATCCCGGATCGCATGCCGTGACGGCCCCAGGTCCCGAAGACGGCCCCACGGAAGCGGCGACCACGGCGACGGAAGCGAAGACGACGACGACGACGAAGACGACGACGACGACGACGACAACGACGACGACGACCACGACGACGACGACCACGACGACGACGACGACGACGACGACGACGACTACGACGACTACGGCGACGACGACGACGACGAAGGCGGCGATGGCAACGACGACGACGACGACGACGGCGACGACGGCGACGGCGACGCAGGCGACGACGACGACGACCACGACGGAAGGCACGGCGGCGACAACGGTAGTGTCGGCGACGACGGCGAAGACGAAGTTGGCGGCGGCGACAGCCCGCCGCAGGGACGGCCTCGCCGGCGGCACCCCCGCCGGCGACGAGCGGAACCACTCTGACGACGCGACCCTGCCCATCCTGCACCGCGGCCGGCGCGGAGGCCAAGAGGCGTCCCAGAGGCACGACCTCCTGCGACGGCGGGTGTCGTCAGTCGGGGGCGTCGGCGCCGTAGCCGCCTGTGTTCTCCAGCTGCTCTGCACCTCCTTTTCTCTTCCTCCTCCTCCTCCTCCTCCGCCTCATCCTCATCCTGGGCCATCTCCTCCTCCTCCTCCTCTTCCTCCTCCTCCTCCTCCTCCTCCTCCTCCGTCTCCTCATCACCGTCAGCATAATCATCAGCAGCAGCAGCACCATCATCATCCTCATCATCATCTTTCGCCTCATCCTCCACTTCCTCCTCCTCCTTCTTCTCTTCCTTCTCCGGATTGTCCACCTTCTCCTCCCCTGCTCTTCCTCCAATTCCTCCTCCTCATCCTCCTCATCATCAGCAAGGAGCTGTCTGGGCCCAAAACCCGAGCGAGCTCCCACAGCGCCACATGCCATCACGACCAATGATGTGCGAGGCGTAGAGGGCGGCACGCGAGGGCCAGGGCCGACTTGGGACAGCTCCTGCAAGTCACGATCTACACCACACTCCCCTACTACATATCACCGCAATGAAGCTGATCTATCATAACGTTCAATGGGCAGATTTTACGAGATTGGAGGAGATATCTATACATACGAAATGTACCGACATCATTGTCTGCATAGGCACTGGCCGATGGGCGGAGAGTGCCGACCTGACGGCCACCCAGTGCCAGCTGCCGAACCACAAGTGCGTGCAAATGGGATGGCGTAAGTCGCGCACGACCAACAACTCCTGCGGGATGGCGGTCATGTACGGCAAGCGCATGCAGGGGTCGCTGCAGCAGATCGCGGTACCACCTGCAAAGCTGGGAATCACTGGCCGTGTGGGCATGGCGAGATTTGCGATGCAGGGCGTGTCGATCGCCATCTTCCCGATCTACGTGCCGCCGAAGGGGATGGCAGCTAACACGCTGCGCCAGGTGACCAAAAAGATACTTCGTTGGATATCGGACGAGATTGACAAGCTGGGACATGCATGTGTACCGATCGTGGCAGGTGACTGGAATTGTGGGTTCGGATACCAAGTGGACCAGACGGGCAAGCGATTCGTGAACCACGACAGCGAGGAAGTAGGCACGGCAGAACTTACCCACGAATCGCAAGTATCTCGATTGGTTCGGGACCTTCTGGAGGAAAATCACCTTAGCATGTTCGGTACGTATTGGAAAACGGGACCTACCTATTTCAAAGGACCTCATAGTAGTAAGATCGACCACGTTGCGGGCCCAGCAGCTATGCGAGGCCGTATACAAAGACTGAACACACTGCTGGGGCTAGGAAGGAGACTGCAACGATACATTAGCACCCACCTCCACGACCACGTCCCAGTGCTGATGGAGTTTGACATCAAGCCGAAAGAGGTCTTTCATGGCAAATACACCCCCGCCGTCAATAGAGACGCCATGATGGCAGCGTATACCAGCGGCAGGAGACGCATCGAATATCTTAGAGCGCTGGAGCAGGAGACGATCAACATTCCAGAAGAGCAATGGCGTGAGATATGGGATCGAGGCGACGTACAGTCAGCATGGAGCAAGCTATCGGAAAGCATACGCAAGGCGATGCAGCAGGTCTTCCCCGCCAAGAAGCAGGACATAGTGGATTACGAAGGCCACAGAAAGAGACGAATGGAGTTATTGCAGATGCGCGGACGGCTATGGGACCAACTTCATGCTACGGGGCTTAAGAGTTTTACGGGAGACGGATACACAGCATTTGATGAGATAGAGGACGAGTTACGCCGACTCTCGCGCCGAATGCAGACCCTTCGCAAGGAGCAGAAGAAAAAGAAAACGGAGACACTAGCTGCAGAGATTTTTATGGCGTGGAGGCAGGGACGACATGCTGAAGTCCACCGACTGCGGGTCCAACTTGCAGGACGAGGTCGAGGACCAAAAAAGAGACTGTTGTTTGCACCACGGCAGAGTATGACATTGCGTGAATGGAAGGACGGCCTTGGAAGTAAACCTCAAGACGGAGGAATGGATTGCAGACAGATCGACTGGGAGGAGTGGACCGCAGACAAATCCTTCATGCCCCATCTGTACGGCACGCCAGAACTGGCCGAACATGTGCGACAGGACAGAGCTGGCCAAATCACCTATTTGCGACGTGCGCCCAAGCGGCGTGCGGGCCCCGCTTGGGGCGTCCTGGCCGAGGCGCTGTGCATGGGAATCGACGAGAAGCGCTACACCAACGAGCACGACAGGAAGTACGTGCCCGTCAACTTCTCACGACGTTATAATGATCTGCTGGCACTCATTCGGCTCACGGGAGCCTTTCCTCTCACTGCCATTAGATCCCAGGCTTACGCTGCGCCCAAGAACAACTCCAAGCAGGGGATAAAAGGTCAACGAATCTTGCATTGTTTTGACTCGTTTGGAATGTCATACTTCGGACACCTTCAGAGGACATCTCGAAGACCGAGGGCGCCAGATTTCGCACGCGGGGGGATACGAGGCCGCCGGCGAGAGGGCGCCATCTTGAGTCTATCCGCTGCCTGCTGGAGATGCCGCACAGCACGAATAAGCCATAGCATGTCTAACTACGATGGCACGAACGCGTTCGCATGCACGGCACGCGACAAACTGCAAGCACATCACCACCGGTGCAGTAGAGCAGAAAACACGCACTTCATGATACAGGCGGTAGACCAGGCGAGCATACACATCAATGCAATAAACGGCGAGGCCGACTTCTTGCCGCAGACGGGCACAACAATGGGACACTCTCTTGCAGCAGGAGACTTTATAGATATTTACTCACCCTCCGTGAGCGAGTGGAACTCGTATCTGGGCGAGGCAGACTACTCCTACTCCCTGCTGCGCGGCCAGTGTCCGATCAGCAAGGCCACCGTGGACATAGGCATCGGATTTTTTGTAGATGACGTTCCCAGAGTACATGTACACGCTTATGCACCGAGCGCGAAGTACATCACACAGCAGTTGAACCACGCGACGCACACATTGCAGCAGCACATCAACACGAACGGGCACCACTTGAACATGGATAAGACGAACCACATGATCGCACTTGCAGGCGCAGGCTCTTTTGAGGCGGCCAGGGAACTCGGGAGACAGAAAAAGGTACAGGGCGAAATTCTTCGGGAAGTCAGGGTCCTTGGACCGATCATCAGCTTCGACGGGGTTCTCAGGACAGAACTCAAGAACCGCATCAGAGGAGCGCGTGCAGCATGGCGTTCACTAGGACAGGTATGGCACGAGCACCTCCCGTACAAGATGCACCGCATGTTTTTCTTGCGTTTTGTATACAGCGCAGCGATCACAGGTCTCACAGCGTTCGTGCTGCCGAAGGAGTTTACGGACGAGATTGATTCGACACTCGCCAAGCTCCTCAGATGTCTCATGAAAGGCAAGGCGGCTACAGAATATGACGACGGACGAATACGGACGATATCCAACAGTGAAGTGTTTGATCATTGGAACCTTAGCCGCACTGCCACAGAGTTGAGAATTCAGAGACTACGGTGGTGGCAGCGAATTTCGAAGGAGCCCGACAACCATCGTCAGGTGCTCACGGCCATGTTCGGGACAACAGTGCTCGACGCGCAGTTGGGCAGGAGCAGGCTCAACAACGTTGGCACGCTGACAAAATATAGTACCCCATGGGCAGCGCAGTGTCTAGGGGATCTGAAGTTCGTAGCGCAGTTCGAACGAGACTTTGACGAAGCCTGGACTGATAAGAAAAACGTCCTCATGCCGTTCCAGAACTCCACCCTCAGTAAGATCTTTGTGAAGATAAAGGTAGGCTCCCTGAGGCCCCTTATGAGCACGAAGAATATCACAAGATGGAACAGGGTACTGCAGAACCTAGGGCTTCAGGAGATATCGGAGGAGGATGCGATCAGGATGGGGATTCTGGAGGTCCAGAGCAACATTAGCAGCAACAGCAGCGTCGCAGAGGAGTACATATGCACGCATGAGAACGACGACGGCACTATATACGCATGCACGTTTAACAGCATGAAAGCCTTAACAGCACACGTGACGCACGCACACAAGATGAGGAACTTGTACGCGCTACTGGTTACAACAAATGTCTGCCCGTGGTGTCGCACAGCCTTTGCGAGTCGTGCTTCTTGCTTGCGACGCGCTCGCACAATGTCTCAGCGGACGCCTCGTTCTTGCCCGACCCGCATCGCGTCATTCGCTTTTCGGTTCGAAGTACTCCCGGTGTACTACTGCGGCTTCTGCCGCCACGAGGATACTGAATTACATCGTCATCTTGACCACGTGCAGCAGCACGCGCCAGGGCCTGACAAGACACAGCAACAGCCGAGCGACGAGCAGAAGGGCGACGAGCACGATGTGGCGCTCGTACGGAGCGGGAAGCGGAGGAAGACCACGATCGGAGACGATGGACTTCGACGCCAGAGCAGCACAGTCACCCAACAAGTACGGCGGTGGCAAGGGGAAGACAGGCAATGGCAAGTCAAATGGATCCGCCAGCGAGGCGAGCAAGGACGACGAGATGGTGACGATCGAGAAGCTGTGTCTCAACAACGCGCAAATCGTGCGACAACTTTCGGGCAGCTTGTGGGACTTCTACCTGGTGGAGGGAGATCACACGCCGTCGGAGGCAGGAGCTCACGAGGGCCAAGAGTACGCGAACAAGGTTCAGAACGGAGCGAAAAACCTGGGCTCGCCGCACGTGTACATCGGCGCGACGTTCTTCGAGGAGCTGGCCAACCTGACTACTACGCCGTCACCGTACAGAGAGACCCTCGAGCAGTTCGCCATGTTGATCAACGTCATCCACGTGGACTTCCTCGGGGACATTCTGCCGTACTTCAAGGTCAAGAAGGCGTACAGCGAGGCAGGAACGAGCACGAGATGGAAGATGCACATTCTGTTCAATGCGCTGGCGATGAGCCCGTGGACAGAGGAGAACGAAACCAAGATCAACCAGAAGCGCGAGACACAGGGACAGCAGCCTATCAAGCTGGAGCAGGCTCAGACCTACCACCTCCGCCAAGCGACTCACGTGGCCATCGCGAACAGCGGGGGCAACGCCATAGTGGGGGCGCCGCCGCCAAGCGCGTTGGAGCGCCGCCTTCAGAACTACCTGCGCGAGAGGCTCGCGCACATGTGAAGCAGGCCTTAGGTCGCTCAGCAGCCAGCAAACAAGCGGCAAGCAACGAGGCAAGTAAACAGCAAGTAAAAATGCACGAGCTCAGGCAATTAGCAGCCGCAGGCAGCGTTAGGGCAGCGGAGCTGCTCGTGAGACTCGGCAAGCGCAAATGAGCTGGTGTTGGGGAGGAGGTGGGGAGTGCTTGGAGGGTAAAGCGCAGCCGTGATCTCGTTCCGTAATGAATTAGAGCAGTAGCGAGCAGCACCACTCGTATTCAGGCCAAGGGGCTTCGCGGACTTAGCGCCGACAAGCCAGACTGCCACGCTTGGAACTTCGCAGATGAGACAGATTTCTTTGGAGATTTGCAGATTACATAGGCTCACGCCATATCGTGCCTGCAGCTCCCCTTGAGGCCCTGCGAGGAGTCCTCCCTTCCTCTGTAGGTCCTCCTCTCCTCAGGCCCGAGTTGCCCAGAGGCCTGCCTCGGACGTCCTCCGAGGCCGCAGGAGCTCTGTGTAGATACGGTGGTGCCCAGCCGAATGGGCAGTGGTCGGCTTTGGAGCGGGGGAGGGGGATGCAGTGGGGGAGTGGGTGTGGTTCCATACATAACGCAGCGACGAGTAGAAACGACCAGCTTAGGTACAAGCAAATATCGTTTCTTCCGACCCAAGTGCGGTGGGGATGGGCCATAGTGTCATAAACCACCGCCCTGGACTGAGTGTTTTGAGTATAGACACAGGGGGTTCGGCCCTGAGCCGAAGTGGGCCCAAGGCCTCGTCGGTCACGAGGGTCCCACAGGCTCCCTCGAGTGTCTGCCTTTAAACCTGCCAGCAGTAACCCGACCCGCTCAAGGCGAGTCACACGCGAGCCGAGTTTTCTGACCCGATTCGTACCGCTGCCGAGGCGTCCGCTCCGCTCCGCTCATCATCAGCATCTTCATCCTCATCCTCCTGCTGCTGCGCTCACGCTGGCGGACTGAATCTGCAGAATTCGTCATTATCCCCCTCCTCCTCCTCCTCCGCCTCCTTCTGCTCCTCCGTCTCTTCCTTCTTCGGATTGTCCACCTTCTCCTCCTCCGCTTCCTTCTCCTCCTCTTCCTCCTCCTCCTCCTCCTCTTCCTCATCATCATCAACTTCATCATCAGCATCAGCATCATCATCATCAGCATACTCATCATCAGCATCATCATCCTCATCATCCTCATCATCATCCTGATCATCATCCTCATCCTCATCTTGCCGCTGCGCTCACGCTAGCGGACCGAATCTGCAGTGTTCGTCATTATTATCGTCCTCCTCACCTCCTCCTCCTCCTCCTCCTCCTCCTCCTCCTCCTCCTCCTCCCCATCCTCCCGTGTGAGGGGTGCAAGCGGGGGAGAGGAGTGGCTCCCCAGAGCTCTCGACCCACGCCCCGGCCAGAGCCAGCTTTTCGTGCCCAAAGGTGTCTTGTTGACGAGGCGCGGGGCCCGAGGACTGGCCCACTGGACTCCAGATGTGGCGAAACCCCTCCGGCTCGATTGACTCGAGCCTCCGCGGGTCTGTGCCATGTCGGGAGGCCTCCCAGGTGGGGCCAGAGCGGATGGAGTCGGAGGAACGCGCCGCATGAACGATGCATCGGCAAAGCGGCTCGATCTGGAGCCCGATCTTCTCGGTCCCGACGTGGATGGTGCATCGCCGATGCGGCGCGAACCTCCTACCCCACCTGCTCCTGCCCCATGCGGGAGGCATGCGCCATCGCTCGGAAGTCCCGCAATAGTGCGGTGACCACCGTCGGGTGAGTCAGTGGGGATTCGGGCTGACCGCACGGGTTTTGGAACGTGGGTCGTTCTCTGAACATTCTTCGGGCGGTTGGGGCCTCCAAGGTCCCACAATCGTGTGGTGACGGACCGTGTAGAGAGCGCGCTCCGCAAAAATCGACCCACAAATTGTTCCTGGGGCGCAGCGCATCTGGCCGTAAGATCAAAGGGGAACCTGGCTGGCCGTGACGACGGCTAACACTACCCAATAGGGAGTCCCGCAAAAACGAAAGAGATGATTCCTTCGGACCTCAGTCGGCCCACCGCTTTCCGCTCGAAATCAGTCACCGGACAAATCCTGCACGCCGTCCCGACAAGTTTGTTCGAGCTGCGTCCAGCCATGGCCGCGAGAAGCCCCCCCTCCCCCCGAAGGCAACAACAGCAAACAGACAACAACGAACTCTTGAGTATGAGTGGATATGAGTGTGAGTGGCGAGTTCTGAGTGTGGGTGAGCCCGCGTGCGAGTGGGTCTGGGTGTATGAGGCGGGAGGTGAGGAGGAAGAGGAGGAGACGTAGGCGTTACACCAATAAGAAGAGCACGAGGAGATGGAGAGCAGACGAAGCACAACGACAAACTGCCGGAAGTTAGAAAACCTGCAGAGCCTCAGGCCTGAAGCCTGAAGTGCGTCGAGCCTGCAGCCGCCCTCCCCAGGCGGCCTCCTGTGCGGCCAGAGGCAGCGGAGGCCGCAGCGGCAGCGCCTGCCTTAGCACCTTGGTCGGGAAGACTACCCCCTGGGAGCCCAGACCTCCAACGTATTGCAAGCATGCCGACGGCGGTCTCTCGCACTTTTCGGCCTCTGGGGGCCCTCGCTGGGCCCCGAGACCGTCAAGAAGCACGATAAAAAAGCAGTCCCCGCAGGAAGCGGTCCAGAGTCCCTGGAACGCAGTATTGACAGCGGGGGTCTCGGAGGTTGAGTCAGGAATCGGCCCCGGGAACTTCTCGCGAGCGGCGGGCATGTCTCCAGATCTCCGACGATACGATGTTTCAATCCTGGCGTTGTTCCTTAGGTTTCCGTTTCCTGGAGCGGTTTTCGGGCCCCAAGGGGCCACGAAAAATTCACCTCCGGGGCAAAAAAGTTGGCCCCGAAAAGGGATCGGGAGCCCTGGGGGCGGGCATTGGAAAAATCAGATCGGAGGACGTCTGGGTCCATACACATCGAGGCGCAATCCCACTGGTGCGCGTTCCCGCCCATGGATGGGTTCCGCGCAGGGCATCCCCGCAAGGGCCGCCCTGCACGCGGTCGTGGCCGAGGAGTCCCTAACGCGAGGCAATGGATGTACTTCCCGCCCACGAACTCCCTGGGTACTGATCTGGCCTCTACGGTCGGACCGAGGTGTAAGATCGAGGTTGGTTCGGGGAGGGTACCCTAATGTTATTTGTCTTTGTTGGACGTTCTTGTGCATCCTAGGGAGCGTCCCCTGGGATGTTCTCTTTGTTTTGGCCGACGGAGGGTCTCGTGCTCTTGATGAATGTTCTTCTGGCCTGGGTCCAACTGCAGTCCAGCTTACGGTCGGGAACTTTGGTTTATCGCGCCGCCGGATCTGGCCTGCCACGCCTCGGCGCGACACGATATCCACGTCCCAGCTCCCGAGCGTCAGCGGTCCGATCGTTTCCCAGCATCCCGCCCCGCGGAGCGGGCCGACACGCTGCACTCGCAAGGCACAGCGCATCGCCGGGGCCGCTGCCGCGACACGCTAAGCAAACGCTCCCGACCGTAATCCGGCAGGGCCCCAGAAACCAGGACTTTGCAAACTCCAGCGAGACAGAACGGAGGAATGGAGAACTCTTCGACCCACGGTGCATCACGGCTACAACTTCCTCGGGTGAACCAGCGTCTTGGCTCGTCAGAGTCCCAGCATGTAACCAGGCCTGACCTGATCGGAATCCGACCCCATCCGGCTGCAGATCCCGCCCGACCTGACCCGATGGATCGAAGTCCACCCTACCAGTTTGGCCGCGATCGCGCCCACTCGCTTGGAAGGACCGCTCGCCTGAGGCGGTACGGCATGCCGCTATACCGTGCCGCCTCGGGCGAGCGGCCCTTCCTCCTCCTTCCCCTGACCCGCCCCATCCGCTTCCTGCCCCGCCCCTCCCCCACTCGGCCCGCCTTGTGTGTGTCTACGTTTCTGGGTGCCAGCTTCGGGGCCTCCTCGGGCCCCTTCGGGGCTCCCCTCATGGGGGGTCGGCGAGGAGGCTCTCCTCGAAGCTTCTGGTCGCCGTGAGCGCATCCCGAGCGCTCCCATCGGCCGCGAGGCTCGGCGCTGTGGCGCCCGAGCCTCTCTTCCATCGAACGGCCCGCCTCATAGGTGCCCTTCGGGGACCCCCCTCCCCCCGCCCCCCTCCCCACTCCACTTCTTGGCGAGGCTACGGCCTGCCGCGCCTTTTCAGGGGTTGCTGCCTCTTCTGCCGCTCCGAACGGCCAGCTTGCCGTTCGGAGCGGCTGGCCCTCGGCGCACCCTGGCGTCCCTCCCGCTTGAATGCTGGGCCTCGGCGCTCCCTGGCAGTCCCTCTGTCCCCTCCCCCCCTCCTGGCCTCCTCCTCCCCGCCATCCTCCACCGACCCCCGACGTAGTGTTTTTGTGTTGCAAGCCTGGACCCCGAGAGAGGTTCAGGCCCCCTTTCCCGGGGACTGGTTTCTCACCCAGGGTCGTCCTTCGACGGCCCCGGGGCTCAGCGAGGGCCCCGAGAGGCCGAAGTTTGTCAAAATCCCCTCCGTCGTGTTTTTCCTCACGACTCGAGGGGGCCTGGGCTCCCTCCTCCCCCGCTCTGCTAGGGCGACGAGATCTATGCACATCCACTGCTCCTGGCCAGGCCCATCCTGGGCCCAGGAGCGGTGTATACGCCCTCCTGGCCTGGCCAGGGAGGCATATACACATCTCCTGGGCCCAGGATGGGCCTGGCCAGGAGCAGTGGATATGTATAGATCTCGTCGCCCTATCTGCCCTTCGATGAATCGCAAACACGGATTAAGGCGCGCGGGTTGGCGACGCGTCCCGCTTCCGTACAGAATCGGCGCGCCCCGCGCCAAATCGAGCCGCATTGCGTTCATGTTTCGGGGGCACTTTTCCAATCCGTGCATCCTGCGCCCACACGCAAGAGCCACGGATCCATCATCCATGTTAGCGTTCGCCCAACCCCTCACTCTCGTTCACTCATGAGCTGACAACTGACAACCATATCTAGGCGACCCCCAGGTTTCTCGGGGTGGGATTCCGGGGCGGCGCTGGTTGTGTGTATGTTGTCGGATACGGGACCCCCGCTCGATCGGATGGGGGTCCGACAATCCGCACCCATTGCTATAGCGCCGTCATCGCCTTGCCCTTCCCCGTTCCTCCTCCCTATAGGTTTGAGCGCGTGCTGCTCCTCCATCATCACACTCGTCCGCCTCGGCCGCCAGAGCCCCCCGAGAACAGCACAACCCACCCCCCACCCCCAGCCAGGACCCCCACCTCCGACCTCGCGATCCAGGGGGTCCTGGTCAGGGGTGGGACTGGCTTCTGGCCCCCAAGAACCCTTCAAAAGCACCCCCACCCCGAGCCAGGACCCCCTGGACCACCAGGTCGGGCGCGGGGGTCCTGGCTGGCACGCCCCCAAAACACCCGAGGCACGCGAGCCCGCCGCCGGGGGGCCGTCCTCGTCGTCGGCGCCAGCGAGGCGCGCCGCGCGCACGCGCGCGCCGCGCCCGCGCTCCGCGCCCTCGGCCGCGCCCTCGGCCGCGGCCTCGGCCGCGGCGCCTCGGCGGCCCTCGGCCGCGCCCGCCCTCCTCGCCGAAGGCCCGCGAGGCTTCCGGGGCGCGCCCCACCCGGGGGGCCGGCGGGGGGGGCGCCTTCGGCGGCGGCGGAGGGCGCGCGCGCGCGGGCGGGGCTCTCCTCGGCCGCGCCTGGGCGCCTCGTCGACGGGTCGGCGCCAGGTCGCCGGCCCTCGGCGGCACGGGCAGCGGTGCGGAGGTCGTCGTCCGCGCCCTGCGCTCCGTCCCAGCCCGGAGGCACCCGGAGGCGTGCAGAGGCCCCAGGCCTCGGGCGCCACGCGCATCCCCATCAGCCCATCTGAAAAAGATGCCCATGCAGAGTTTGGACGAGGGGGTTGAGGGAGGGGAGGAGAACAAAGAGGAGCAGGAGGAGGAAGAGGACCAGGAGTAGGAGGGAGACGGAGGAAAGGCAACGAACAAACGCTGGAACAGGGTAAGAGATAGAGGAGGATAAGAGGGAGGAGAAAGGCGACGATGGGGACGATGAGGACGAGGAGGAGGCCTCGTTGGGGTCCCCGAGGGGCCTCTCGGGGGCATCCTGAGGGCCTTTGGAGGCCTCTTGGGGGCTTCGTGGGCTGTCTTAGGGCCCTGGTGGCCTGTCACAAACCTTCGGAGGCCGTATCGGCTGTCGGAAGCCCGAAATGCGAGACCGCGACAAGATTTGAAAACCTTAGGGGCAAGAGAGAGTTTGGCCTATTCGGGACCTCCTGGAGGGCCTGTTAGAGGTCCAGGGGCCGTCTTGAGATCTCTTGGGCCGTCGTGCCATCGTGGGCTGTCTTTGAGGCATCGTTGGCCAGCCTGCAGCCCATCTTTGGCAATATTGGCAGTCTTGCAGGTGAGGTTGATTAACTTTGTGGTTCTTCTGAGTAGCCGGCGAGATCAGCCGAAGTCGATTCGGAACTATTTGTAAAGGCCAGCACCCTATTGTAAGCATAAGGAGGCGGCGATCGGCAACCGGCCCATCCCGCCACCGTGTCTGGGATATGGGTCAGAGGCCTCCTAGATGCGTCCGGTATTGGAAGGTGTCTCTTGGAGGGCTCTTGGGGGCCTCTTGGGCTGGGGGCCTCGTGGGGTCTCTTGGGGGAGGCACCTCGGGGACCTCTGGGGGGGCGCTTGGGGACATCGTGGGGGGGGGGCTCGAAATGTCAATTGGGGTTTCTCCTCTTTGGGCCTCTCGAGCCCCTCTTGGGGGCGTCTTGGAGCGAAGTTGGAGACCTTGGGCCGTCTTGGATGCTTTTGCAGTAGAACAGGTGCTAATGCTCAAATCGCATCCACAAAAGCCCTGGGATTTGTATGGCTAGGGCTTCTTGATCCGGCTCCGAGGCCTCCAAGACGGCCCAAAAGTCGCCCAACAGGCGCCCCTGGACGGTCCCTGGGGCCACATCGAGCCAGGTGTATGTCCTGACTTACGCCCTTGTGGCCGATGGACAAGTCACGCAGCTGGCCCCAAGAAGCACGCGAGCAGCTCCAAAAGTCTGCGAGAAGGCCCAGGACTTCGGGCTCAGGGTCCTTGAAAGCGTCTTACAATCCTCGGTGCAAGGGACTCTATGAGGAACCTGAGGACACTCCAGGCAGTGCCTCTTGGCACGGTGGCGAGTACGCCCAAGAATTGAGTTCTCGCCTTCCCAGATGGGGTCGGAGTTGATGGGGTCGGAGGATTGCGCCGCATCGCCAATGCATCAGCGATGCTGCTGAATGCGGAGCCGAACTTTCTCCACGCCGTCGCCATACATCGCCGACGTCGCCGGTGCAACGCCGATGCATCGGCGCTGCATCGACGACGCGGCGCGATCCTCCGGCCCCATCAACTCCGACCCTATTTGGGAAGCCTCTACGAATGCAGCCTGGAAGTGGGCAGATACGAAACAGGTTGGCGGGCTCGGTTGCCACGCCTGGGGCCCCGACGGCAAGCACCCCGAACGTGCCCCTTTGTGTGCGTTTGGGGCCGTGCCAGTTGAAGGTGCCCCACGGGCGCACGCCCAAGGGAATCAAATATCCAAAAAAATATCCAAACTCCTATGTGAAAGACGTCGGGCTCACAGGACATGCTATCGAAGGCCTGCTTGGAAGAGGTGACCACACGAGTGCCGAGAAGGCCCCAGAGGCGTGCCACCCTCTGATGGCCCTCGTAGACGCGGCGGCGTCACGGCCTGCCCCCGTGTGTCTAGTCCCGCTCCTCTTTCCTGCTCCTTCTTGTCCCCCTCGTCGTCCCTTCCTCCCTACGCTGCTCCGATGGCGGTCGGTGTCGCCAGTTTGTTTGACCCAGAATAGGCTGTCAGTGAACGATATGCTGCCATCACTTCCACTCCGCGAAAAGCTTGGGAGGAACAACGGTTCACGGGAGGCGCGTCGAGAGCTCCAAGGGGTCCACGTCATTCGAAAACCCCGTGGCGTCTGCGGCCTGGGCCTGGCGACGTCTGCCGAGACTCTGGGCGGCCTCTCCGGGATGTGCGCCAGGTCGCGCACCGAACCGCTGCTCGCCTGGCCGGACTGCCCGAGGACGACCCAGGGCGACCAGCTGGCCCGGGGGGGAGAGGACCTCCGGGACCCGGTTCCTCCAGGGCCCCTCCCCGTCGCGCCGCCCGCGCGCTCCCCTCCCCGCAGACGCCCTGCGGCCGGGCCTCCCTCCATCCCTTTGCCTCCGCGGCCGCCCTCCTCCTCCTCCCCTCTCGCGCCGCGTGTGCTTCGGCAAGGCGCGCCCCGCCCGGCTGTCTGCCGCGCCCGCGGGCGCTGCAGACAGCCCCCGCATGCCGAGGAGGCCACAGCCGACCCGAAGGCACAGGTGGCACAGCGCAGGGCTGGACCTGAACGGTGTTCTTGGTGATTTCGTGGGCCGTTTTCGTTTCGACTTCGTTCTGCGGTAAGGGCGGATTCGATACGAAAGCGAGGGACAACGGGAACGAAAAACACCGTTTAGGTTCAGCCCTGGCACAGCGCCGGCCAGGCCGCGGAGCACACTCCGCGGCGGCGGCCGCGCACGCGGCCTGCTCGGTTAGGGCCTCGTCGCGAGCAGAGCGGTGGCAGGTCGACGGCCCCGAGCGGCAGGTCCGGAGGGGGCGTTCGTGGAGGAGTGTGCCCAGGAGGCTTCAGGCCCTGGAGGGCTCCTCATCTGAGGAGGGCAGCGTTGTGATGTCAGCGCTCCCACGCCTCAAGTGGCGTTCCACCGGCTTCCAGGCTCTGGAGTCTTCATCCAAGGGTACCTTACCCAGTGCCCTCACGGTACCCTGGAAATGTCATCAGTGCAGCTCTCGCGCGCGGTCCGTCTCACCGCGCCCCTCAGTTTCAAGATGCACGTGGTGCGCCGCGCGATCCGGCGTTTTCGCCGACGGCCGCGGCCGGATCGCCACTGCGATCCAGGGGCTGGGGGGGCCTAGAAATTGGAAAAGCAGTAGCATTGCTTTTCCAGGGGGTGTAGTGTTTTACCCCATGGTCTCTTCGCATTTGTGTCTGACCCTGTGTGGATCGGTCCTGCAGCTTCAGCGGCGCGAGTCGCACGAACGTCAGAGCTGGTCCGATCCATGCGGCGCAGATGTCCCTTGGCGTGGACATCGTGAGCGGCATCTGGTTCCGGTCCACCGATCCTTCGACATTGTGTTATGAGCCAGGAAGACATGCCCAATTTGACGGACGCCCAGCGGCTAACGATTAATGAGTTGATTGTTTTTCTATTGTTTCCAGTGCTTGTCGGCCTTTTGAGGGGATTCGGATGTTATGGAGACATTCCTTGGGTAGCCAGTCGTACTATACTCCATGTCCCCGCCCTATCCCGAGCCGTGTTTGTATTCGTCCCGGCGTCAGGCGTTTGTTTTGGAAACCTCTTGGTTGCGTGCAGGTATCGCGATCGAGGCGTTCTGAGTGGTCAGTTGTCGTCGTCGCAGGGAATGTCGTGATTGTCATGCCGTCCGTTCACATTTGAGGCTCAAGCGCCAGGCCCGAGCATCTGGCTTCCCCGGCGAGCTGCTTCCCCAGTTTTTCCAGATCTGTTCGTGCGCATCGGTTGCAGAACGTGGGGGAAGGATCTGGTGGTAAGTGTTTCGGCGGCGAACGAGGGGGGGGGACAGTGAGAAGGAGAAGGCCTTATCAGAAGGCGGCGGGACTTCTCAGAAGCCCTCCGGCCTTCTGAGAGGTTTTCTGTGTCTTCGGGGAAGGCGACGAAGACTTCTCAGAAGGCCCCGGAACTTCCGAGTCTTTTGAGAAGACCTTCTCCTTCGCATTTCCCCCCAGGCTCTCCGCCGAATGTTAGGATCGGGTATGGGCAGGCTTGAGCACCAGCAGGTTCCCCCACTTGGGACAAACGATGCGCAGGAGCAGGTGTCAGTTTTCAGCTTCCACTGGATCTAGAAGTCCCCTCGGCTTTCATGCAGGTGTGCGTCGAAGGCCAGACTGATTCTGATGACGTGGAGGCCAAGGCCATCACTGCGGCAAATGAAGAAATACCACTGGACGAGTTGCCCGAGCTTCCAGCCAGAGGCTGGGCATATTGGACCGAACCATTCGTGGGCATCTGTGTCGTGGGTTTTTTTTGCCTTCTGTTGTGCAGCATTGTCTACGCCGTGACGCGGCATGGGACGAGCGACACCGAGCTTGTCCGGTCGATCATAAAGTATTTGATCACGTTGGAAGCGGTCATCGCTGGCCTGTGCGTCCTCTACATTTTGAAATTTCAGAATGCAGGAGAAATTACGCGGTCTCGCGAGACATGCTACCCGATCCCAGACGAGGTGGTAGAGCGGTTGAAGCAAGGCCGTAGTTTGGAAGGGTTTCACAACATTTCTAGAATTCGAGGCGCGCCTGCTGAAGGCACGTACTGCGTGCGTTGCTTAGTGTGGCGGCCGCCAAAGACGCAGAAGCCCCACCACTGTAACACTTGCCAGCGGTGCGTAGTAGAATTCGATCACCACTGTGGTGTGTTCGGACGCTGTATTGTCGACGGGAATATGACATGCTTTACAACTATGATCACGATGTTGTGCGTCGGAATTGGCACAACTATGGTCGCTGTTGTGGTGAGCTCTGCTCCAGAGGGCTGATACACGCCTCATGTCGCAGTATCCGGCGAAGACATCCGGAAGCCGTCCCGCATGTTTGGATGGCGCACGTTTGACGTATCGGTTAACGGCGTGTCTTCGCATGCATTCTTCCCAGTTTGGATTGGCCTGCTTTGCCAGATACGATATATAGAATATGCCAGAATTTGGGCATACCCCCTCACAAGATGGGTACCTCGGCGCTAAGACCCGACTTGTTGGTGTTATTGAACATCGCTCATTTGTCCGCAACAGCCAGTCAAAAAAGTAAGCAGCCACACTCGCATGAGCAAGGCGCATCAGCAACACCATCACGCCACACCTCATTGCACCATCACCACCACCGTCGCCATCACCATCACAGCAACAGCATCGGCTAGTCGCGCCAGCTTCGTCAGTGTGAAGGCGACGGAACAGGCATCCAGCGTAGGCGAAGGGAACCTCAGCGCGCGGCGGCTACAGTCGTGTTGCCAGCCATCGGTGAGGACGCATACCCACCCCCGCCGAGTCCGAGGTACAGCAGGCGGTGGAAAATTCTGACCCCCAAAGCCCCAGGGATCCGCAGAAGCTCTGGGGGACCTTCGGATCTTCAAAGGTCGACGCACAATGTGGCCCACCGCCACTGCGGGCTTGGTACGCCTAGCCCCCTTCAGTCGCTTGCAAATCTCCACCAGCGGGTTGGTTTTCGTCTTGTTTCCCAATTGCTCCGTGATCTGCAACTCGGCGTTGCCAAGGGCCGGGACGTGGAAGCCGCCAACACCCACTGCGCCAGCAGCATCGAGCAGAGGAGGGAAGCTCCAGAGGGAGGTGTGCTCACACCTGCCAGGTCCACACGTGTGCTGTAGTGTTCGCCTGGCGTGCAGGCCATGCCCTCGCCACGTGGCACTGCGCATATGTTGTTCCAACCTGCTGTAGCCCAGATCGCCAAAAAGACTTTCGAGCACCAAGACAATACCGAAACTGGAGGGTTTTCACGTGTCGGGCCCTGGGAGGCGATTCTCGGTCGACAGTGTTTCGGTACTGTTCTGGGTGCTCGAAGTTATGTCTGGGATGTGGTCCTTAGTGCTTGCGCCGTTCCCGCCTGCTTCTGCCTCTGCCGCATCCGCACTGTGCACCTCCAGCTGGTGCGCCGGGTTGCTGCTGCGGCCGCCTTCTTGCTGGGCCGCGTGCGCCCATCGCAGCAGACAGGAGCAGAGAGCCCTCCCGCCCGCGGAGCCTCTGGCTGCCTACGTGCGGAGGTTCGCACCGGGCCCCTCGTCAGGCTCGGGCCCCTGGAGCCCAAGCGGCTCGAGCCAGACTGCCACGGTTCTTGCGGGGTCGCGCTCAACGCGTGGAGGCCGCACCATCTTGTCCAGGGAGTGCCCACTTCGAGGTCGATTTCGCTTGTCGGCGGGTGGTGATGCGGGCTGCCTGACCACCCTGCGGGTGTCACTCCCCGTCTTCTCTCCGACAGGGTCCGTTTCGATCCGTTCGATCCGGATCGAGATCGACTCTGGCTGGTCCGATCCGGATCGAATCTGCTATTCCTCGGCTACGCGTAAGAGTGAACCTTCGCCAGAGTGACCTTTGGTGCAGGCCCAGTATTGGCTGGCGCGCCTGGATTTGGCCTCCCCGCGGCCCCCTGAAGCCGCGCACCAGAGGTCACTCCTGCCCAGGGCCACTCTTGCGTGCAGCCGAATTCCGACGATCAGGTGCGCCCCGATGCTTGCAGACACCCGTTGTGCATCCTGGCGCGGCCGGTCCGATCCGTTTTCGGCTCCGTGCCGATGCGGCCCGGTCTCACTCACGCACACTTCGACCCGACCCGAGCTCCCGATTCTGATCCTTCCTGTGAAGGCCTCCCTCCTCTCCTCCGTCTGCCCCTCTTTCCTCCGGGGTAACGTTAGGGGGGCGTAAGCTCAGGGGCGGGGGGACGCATCGCACCCCAAACGCCCATTCATCGTCGACACGGCCCCATAGCCGAGCCCGTCCAGGAGCTTGCGAATTCGTTATCGGGGGCCTACTGCCGATACATTGGCGGTGCATTCCCGAGTCCAGCTCGATGCCTCCTCCCCCTCCCTGAGTCGGTCCCCCCCAACGGTCTCCATGTCCTTCCCCTCTCCGTCCCCCCAGCCCTGCGTCTCCCCCACCTTCCTCCATGCTGCGGCCGAGACGCTAAAACGATGATCGATCATTTCGGGCTCAGGAGTGGAGCCCTGGTCTTCGGGCCGCTCCTCGGAGCGACAGGTCGGGGAACGGTTGCGTGCCCGAGACTCGTGGTCAGGTCAGGTTCGGAACCGTGCCCCGTGCCCGGGCGGCACATCGTTTGCAGATGAAATGCATGAGCGTGTGCACAGAAGTACGCCAACGTCAGATTCAGCATGAGGGCGACGAGGGGGAAAGTGCAATCATCGTCGCCGGCGCCACGGGCAGGGGTGGTGTAGAAATCTGCTCACTCGTGCCCGGCCCCGTTCAGAGACTCGCCGTGGCCAGGAAAGCCCTTCATTCCCGAGGCAGTGCTCCCTGTGGTGCGGCAGGTTCGGGTCGTGTCGACGCGGCGGACCACCGCAAGCAGCCAGGAGTCGGCCGAGATCGATCGATCTGCGCTATCGGAAAGCCTCGGAGGAGAGGATGACGATGTCATCGTCATCGTCATCGTCATCGGGTGGATAGCCCTGGGGCGGGCGTTGAGCAACATGGTTTCGGGCGCTGGATTGGGGGGGCGGGGGATTGGAGCAAGCACGCTCCGCAAGTCTTGGACTGGCGCGGAGATGGCGCATCGGAGGTCGCGGCAGCGACGGCGTGCCTGTTCAAGTCCTCCCCCCCCACCCTGGCGCCCGCAGCCGAGCCCCGAACAGTGTAACGCCCGCCCCTGGGCTATCCACCCTCACCGTCTTCTCCAAGAGCCGCGATCGCTCCAGGAGGCACGACCCGCGCGGTGCCAGGAGTCAACGCGCAGGTCGTAAAGACACGGACTCGCCGGACGGGGCTAGGACGAGGATGAATCTGTTCCAGGGCGTTCCGGAGCTCTCTCAGAGCGATCCGGAACGCTCTGAGGACGCCGCGGCGCCCGAGACATTTTCCAGAACCGCTGGATTTCAGAGATTCTAGATTTACCCTCACCCGATTTTATCCTCGTTCTGGCTTCGTCCTCTATGAAGCACGGCCCTCGTCCGTGACGCAGCCAAGGCGCTGCAGAAAGGGCACTTCGGGCTTGGGGTGATCCCTTCGGTCTTCGGGCCGCTCCCGAGATCCCCGGTCGGGGTGGAACGATCCGCGCGGTGCCAGGAGTCCAAGCGCAGGTCGTGAAAAGAGGCACGAGCCTGCGGCAGCCGAGGCCCTCATTCGGGGAAGCGTAGGACTCGAGTAAGCCGGAACTCGGGCTTGCCGACGTTTTTTGACGAGCGCGTCCTGGATTTTGACGGTCTGGTTTTCGTGGGATGTTTGCAGCGGGAGTTCGCGTCGAACCTCACACTGGGTCTCGTCATCCTCATGGTGGCCCCGTCGGGCCACCCCCCGTAAAGAGAGAGCCCCCCACCAAGGGGTGCCCGAGAGCCCCGCGCCTCCCCGACTCGTCCGTGCCGCAGCCGAGGCGCTGCAGCAGCGGGGCCGCTGCGGGCTCGGGACGGGCCCTGCGGTCTGCGGGCGCCGCCTGCCCGAGGGCCCAGGGCCCGGGGGGGTCTGCGCGTGCCTGCCCGTGGCCGGGGGAGCCCCGCCGGCTCCTCGGGCAGCGCCCGTCGGGCAGCAGGCACGGCATAAGAGGAGGGGTCGGTCTGCGGGCAGGTGCCCCCCTGGGGAACCCAGACCCCCTGGAGTGATGAGGGAGAAAACCGGGGGGGAGGTCCCGTGGTCTCGGTCTCTGGGGGCCCTCACCTGGCCTCGGGACCGTCAAAAACCGACTCGGGATGCAGAGCTGGTCCCGGGAAATGGCTCGAGACTTTTGGGGGTCGACGTCATGAAGAAATTATGACGCCGGGGGTCTGGGAATGTAGACCACCCGATATCACGCGAGGGCCCCCGAGACCCACAAGCGCTCGAGGGCACCTTCGGACCCTCATGGATCGACGTAGAACATGCCCCAACGCTTCTTGTAGCAAGACTAGTTTTGATATGCGCCTACGGTCAGGAGCAATGGCTTAGAGTGTCGCATCGCCAGTTCTGTCCCACAACGTTTCGGTGCGACACGTTTTCACTTTTGGGTCCCCGAGCGTCAATGCCACGAGCTTTTCTGAGCCTCCCGCCCCGCGGATCGAGGCGATGCGTTGTCCACTAGCATGGCACAGCGTGTCACCAGGGCTGCCGAGGCGACACGATATCCAAAAGCTCTTGGCCGTATGCCCCAAGACTTCTTGTATCAAGATCTCTTATCGGATAGGCCTACTGTATGGTAGCAGGTTGTCCGTGTCCTCGCCGCGGCGCGCGCGAGCGCGCGCGCTACAGGCGGACGCGCTTCTTGAGCCAGGAGGACGCCACCTCTGCCTACGGCCCGAGCGACGCCTACAGCCCGAGCGACGCTTCCCCGGGATCGAGGCCCCTCGAGGAGGGAGGATTGGGAGGACCGCGCGGAGTGCTAATGGGATCAGTGGGTCACAGTTGGATGCGAAGGTGGATCATATGATTAGCAGCCCCCGCGGTCATCATTGGAGGCCCAGACATGCCCGCGTCGTGAAGATTACCCCAGCCAAGCACCCTGATGGCAGGAAAGGTAAGGCGGCGCGTCGAGGAACGGGAGGTCGAGACACGGCCATGCGCACCTCAGTGTATGTTTTGCAGCGGATCTTGGCTGTCAGGAGGCCAAAATGTAGCCGGCATCGAGGCGACATCCCGATTCCTGAATAAGTTGTCAGGAAGTCTCTGGCGAAACGGCTGCCGGACAGGGCTTCCCGTCACTCCCGTGGGACTCTTCTGCTGCTTTTTGTTTAGCCCTCTAGCGAAACGCTACCAGGAAAGAGCACGACGGATTGTGTTTGGCCGTTTTCGGCTTACGGGGAACCTCGCCGGGCCTAGGGACGGTCAAAGAAATTGCTGGGGACAAGAAGCCGGCCCTGAGGAAATGGCGGGGACTTCCGGGGGCCCCGCATTGAAAAAGACAAGACATCGGATGTATGGGGGAGGCGGACAGGGGTCAACGTTAAGGGGGGATTAGCTCAGGGGGTGTGCAACGTTAGGAGGGAGCCCAGATATCTGATGGCATGATTTGTTCAGTCATGGCGTTTGCCCTCGATTTCGGTCCCTGGTGCGCATCGTCTGGCCCATGAGCCCATCAAGAACAGATATCCGGAACGTAGAACTCCCCAGGGGAAAAGGATCGGAGCCTTTGTCTGGTTGGCCCAAAAGGGGGTCCAGCGAAAAGGGGGTGGTGCAATAGATCTGGTGCAGCAGATTTGTGGGATTGCACTCGGTTTGCGGTGTGCAACAGATTCCGGGGCGCAGATGTATTGCTGGATTTCTGCGTGCAATACATTAGTTGCAACACAGTGCAAAACAGTTCCATGGCGCCAGACATTTGCAAGACACTTGCCCCAAATCTATTGCACCACCCCCTTTCAGCTGGACTCCCTTTTTGAGCCACGAGGACTTTGGGGACGCGCACAACAATATCATATCGTCAGATGTCTGGGAGGAGGCTTCGATGCATGAGTGTGCCCCCGTGCCCCCGCGCTCCGTCCGCTTCTCTGCGGCCGCCTCTTTCACCTCCTCTCTCTTGCACGCGGGATAGTTCGCGGAGCTGTGCCCCGGCTTCGCCCCGAGGCGCGTGCGGATCGCCCCTGCCGCGTTGCGAGGTAAAAAAGCCTGGGAGGAGGCACTTCTCGATCCGCTCGGGTGTGCTCGGTGTCTGGCGCGGCGCTCAGTGTCCCGCGCGCGGCCCGTCGGCTCTGGGGTCGCGCTAGCTGCCGCCAGCGCTGCGAGCAACAGGAAAGTCGGGGAGGAGGAGGAAGAGGAGGAGGACAGGTAGGCTGGGTAAGGCTCCTCGAGGAGGGAGCGAGGAGGCCAGGAGGTCGGGGGATGGGAGGGGAAGATTGGCACAGTTGGGGGCGCGTCGACACCCCATCACCCACTGATCCCCGACAGCGGCCCGATGATAGCCCACTCCGCCCAACAGCGTGTGGTTCTGCTATCGGGTGCCGATCGCCGATCTACCAGCGCGGTTTTTCGTCGACTCCAGCCAGACTCCCCTTGTCGTTCGTCATCGAGGGAGGAGGATGGAAGAGGGTTTGGTCATATAGTGAGGTTTCGGTGCGCCTTCGTGCCCGTTTGATCGCAGACAGGCGCAGACGCGTGGCAAGCTACACCGCAATCAATACAGACATACACACATATATTTATATACAGATGCTCAGGTTTACCACCAACATCTCAAAATATGCGTTTTTAAAAATGCGAGTGCGAACTCAGATGTGCAGTGCCAGTTCGACGGCGGCGCCTAAAAGCTTCCCCCGCCCTCGAGAACAAATCGTCGTCGTGGTGCCAGTAGGCCCATTGTGCAGCACGCGCGCGCGCATCCATCCTTTTCTGGGGTGAGCCAGCGGCCGATCGCCCGCCTACAAACTTACGAGCATGCTGCCAACACCGATCAATTATCTGGGTCCCACCTTCCGTGTGCGTGGCAAGCCCCTCAATGTTGTGAGCGAAGAGCTGCACGTATTTGGGCGCAGGAATTCCCCGTCTTTCCTTGGGTTTGTGGGTCCCGCAATCGTGGATGACGCCGTCCAAGGTGTTTTTTTCGGTTCAGCCCCAGTTTGTACGAGCGGGGGCCGTCAGTGTGCAGAAGAACCGTGCGCCCCTTCAGCCAGTTTTGGCCATGGGATGCCAATCTGATTTTTTTGATAGGCCCCGGACCAGGAACCCTGCTGATCGTAAGTTTGGGCTCCGTTCGGAAAAGTACTAAACTGCTTGGTCTGCCCAGCTCGACTATGCCAGCCCACTGGAGCCATCTGAGTTTCTCCTTGGCGTTATCGGTGACGAACTCCTTGCCCAAATCGACCTCGTCCGCCTCGACGTCGCGCCACTCTTCCTTGAGATTGTCTCCACATTGGATATTTTTCTCTAGGGCGACGGCGTCCTTCGCCAGGCACGCGCCGAGCCGATTTGACATATCGCTGATGAATATGGCGCTGTCCCCCACAGCAAATGATTCTGCGAGTGCGTCAAGCCCAAGATGAGCCCGAATAGGATCCGAATCTGGCTTCGAAGCGATTTTGAAACGTGCCCAGAGCCCGCCGTGAAAACGGGGTGGTGAGCATGAGGAAGGATGAATCGCTGACACCTACGTTTCTTGCGCCTGTATGCCCAGGCGCCGCCGGCGCGCTGCTGAAGGGGGCCGACCCGCTCCTCGCCGCAATGCGGACAATGTGATTGAGTCCAATTATTCAGGAAACCGTCCCTGGTGAGGCGCGAAATCAGAGCCTTCTCACTGGCAGCCGCGATGTCGTTCATTCCCCAAGCCCGGGTGGCGCGATCTCTGCGAGATCGCGCAGTTATGCCGTGGTGAACATATGGGGTATTTTTCCATTCACTGGACCACTTCTCCTTGCGCAACTTCTTCGGGCGAGCATGCATCCTGGTTTTCCCCTTCTTGGGGGTGCAATTGCCCCCTGCGCATGAGATTGCCGCGGCGGGTCGCTTTTTGGCTGCTCCTGTAGCGCCGCCCAGAGCATCTGCTGGCGAGGGCGGGGGCGGCGGCAGCCCCTCGAAGTGGTCGACAGCGTCGTCGTCATCGTCGCGCAGAAGGTCTCCCAAAGGAGGAACGTCTGTCATAATACCGTCTGGGTAGGTAAACTCCACGAGCTCATCCTAAGATTATTGCTCAGGCAACTCGCCTTCCTCTTCCGAGTCCTCGCCCTCGTCGAACGCGTCGCCCAGGAAGTCGATGTCGCAGGGGAAGGTCTCCGACGACACGTCGCGCATGTCAACGTCGTCGAGGCCGGGGTGTTCACCGCCAGTGTCGACGTCGCCGTTCACCGCGTCGCCGGCCGCTTCGCTCTCGACGCTCTCGTCGGGTGCCCGAGCAGGGCAAAGATGAAGTGATTTCTTATCGTTGCAAAGCAAATCCCACGCACAAGAAATGAGTTTTCGAATCTTACATTCCCAGATTCCCCGCGCATCGCGCGATTCCCCCCCCTGGGGGAAATCTTTCTTCTACTCTAGCAACCCCCGACTCCGAAGACATCCGCTCTTTTCGTCGAACTCTTGGCAAGACAACATCATAATACTCTCAGAGGAAAAACTGCCAACCCGACCCCTGCTTCCGCCCCCGACCTCGACGTCCTCGCCAGGCGCTTGAAGGTCTGCAGCCGAGCCGCCATTCAGGGAAGACGCGTCAAACTGGATCCCTCCAAGTTCTTTGTCTGCTTGGCTCGACATGAACTGCGCGAGCCCGACGGAGTCAGATCCCCGGTCGCCGAAGAGGCGGCAGGCGCCCGAGTTTGGCGGCGAAGGAGAAGACAAAGAAGCCGCAGCGCCCGGCGGCGATGAGCGGAGAAGTAAGTCTGTGCTTAGACGGCCGCAGACGCTGCAGCTCGAACCGCCGAGAGCGTCGCCTCTCGAACGGCGGAACTCCTGCATCAGCAACAGGCGGAGGCACCGCGCTTCGCCGCCAAAATCAGCCTCCAGAGACTGCGCCCTGGAGGCGAGCATGTCGGACGTGGGCCGATCAACGCCCGCTGGGTTGCGCATATCGATAGCATATATGTGAGCAGTGCCTCCTGCGCATTAGGAACGTCTCCGCGTCGACGCGCCCGGCCGAGTGCCCCGGCGTCGCCGCGATCCGAAACGGACCGGGAAGGGGTCGCGGATCGCCTCCGCAGTATGTGAAAGAGAATGGCGCGCCGTCCATGATCTCCACGCGGCGCGGCCGATCGCGCATTGCCCAGGCAAGCCCCGCGCCGCCGAGAGCGCGCAGCTCCTGAAAACAAAACGAACGCCCTTCTCGGGCGAATTGGTCGTTCGGAATCCCCGCGGGCGCCCCCGTTCTGCCCGCCGAATTCCACGGTCTGTCTGACGCGTCTGGCAGGGGGCTACTGCAGCGAAGCAGCTCTGGCCGAGGATGCCGTCTCATCAAGTTCTTCAACAGAGGCGCGGAGCGGCTGTAGCAGCGCTCCATTTCCGTCGCCAATCCCAGGAATTCGCTCTCCAAGCTGACGGTTCCGCTTCGGAGATAGATGCGCGTGAGCTGTCGCTCTCGTTCGAACGCGCTCAGCGGCGCGGCGCCGCCAGGGGGGGCCCTTTTCGCCGATATGCGGGTGGAACTGCCGCGCCGTGAAGGCCCCTCCTCCGCCGAGCCGAGCACGCCGATGAGACCATGTCGATGTCCGAAACGGCGGTTGGTGGCGCTGCGGCAATCATCCCGTTGAACATCTAGGTGTTAATATTGATCACGCCTATTGTCGTGAGGGTCGTCTCGACTTCGTCCACGATTGAACCTTCAGTACTGGACTGTGCATAGCGCAGTCTTGTAGCCGTCGGATTCGGCCTCTCGTTGAACAGCTTCTGCAAATGTGAAAACTGAGGCAGACTGAGGAAACGGTGCGCGGCCGCCTTAGTCTCCCAAGAAAGATTCCATAGGAACGGCACATCGTTGCGAGGATAAGCGAGGTGCAGGAGGCGGATGAGAGCGCGCTTTGTGCCCTTCATGCTGACACCCAGATAATCGCAAAGACATGCTCTCCATGAGTTGCGGTTGTCCTTGAAAGACATGAGAGTTGGGAAGTCACCAATGTCCAATGACGCATCCTCCAAATTGCTGCAGAGCAGCACCACGAAGCAGTTCGCGATGTCGATTTCGAAGAACACGTTGCCTGACATCGCAGAGCATCTCTCCTCTGCTTCCATGGCGTACGCCCTGGTCTGTTTTCGCCGCAAAAGGAATCACTTTTGCAATGCCGCCACAATAGGAATCCTTTTGTAAGGCCGCCACACAAGGAATCCTTTGTAAGGCCGCCACAATTGGAATCCTTTTTTTGTAAGGGTGTCATTTTTCTCTTGGCGCCAGCAGCGGGAAACCAGGAAAACAATTGGAAACAATGATAATATTGAAAGCAGAACGAAACCATGAAAAACATAATCAAATGGTGGCAACACAACCAAAAACAATCAAAACCAAACAACACATGAAAACGCACAAAACAACAATGACAACAACAGAAAGCCTGTGACAACACAGCCAGCAACTACGACAACCAACGAAAACATATGACAACACAACCAAAAGCTTTCGAACACAGAAAACCTGTGAACAACACAGCCAATAACAATGACAACTCAAGAACACGTGCGAAAACATGACAAACAAACAAACAAACAATGACCACCACAATAAAGGTGTGTAACCACATGTTTTCTAGTGTTTGCAGTGCCTTTTTTATGTGTTTTCTTAAGTTTTCTGTTGCTTTCATTGTTTTGGGTTGTGATTTCACTATTTTTTTTGTTGCTTCGTTGTGTTGTCATTGAGTTCATTGTTTTTCCTTGTTTTCCTGGCTTTCCGCTGCTGGCTCCAGAAAAAGAGTAGCGGCCGTACACAGGGAGTCATTCTGCGGCGGCCTTACAAAACCATTCTTTTTTTCGAGTGGCCTTACCGAGGGATTTCTTTTGTGGCGGCCCTACAAAGGGATTATTTTTTGTGGCGGCCCTACAAAAGGATGTTCTGTGAATGGGCATTACAAGCAGGTTCCCTTTTGTGGCGAGGCGAGCCGAGGCGGGCCTCTGCTCACCCCCCGGGAGGCTGGAGCCCACGCTCGGGCCCCCTCCCCAGGGATCGAGTCCCCCCCGCGCTCTGGCACGGCTGCCCCCTGCCTGCTGGGGCCCCGCAGAAGTGCTCTCTGCAGGCACGGCACCCTGCAGGCTTGAAAGCGGCGACCGGCCGCCCTGGCCAAATTGCGGGCCGCCGCTCCGAGGCGTTTTCAGAACCTTCGGGAGCGTTGCTCCAGTTTGCTGGGGGCACCGTGCCCCCAGCAAACTGGAGCGCTGCCACCGTGCCCCGGGCACGGTGGCAGCGCTCCGCTCTACGATCGTGTCGGCTGCGGGTGAGGCCGGGCCTTTGTCAGAGCCTCTTAGCAGGAGGCAGATCCAGCCACCGCGACGGCCCTCCGGGAGGCCCGGGCAGTCAGAGAGCGTCAGGAGTCACCCTCTCTTGCTCTCGCCTGTCCTCGCCGTCCCTCAGCCGTGGCCACGAGGGGGGCATCCCGAAATGCCACAGCAAAATGATCGCCATCCCAGTGCGATGACGAAGCGCTGCAATGCAGACTGCGCCGATCTCGCCCGATCGGCACACAGTCTTCCTGCACCCCACCGACGGAGCCAATCAACATTCACTCGGTGGCATACCTCGGAGGCGCGATCGAGTGTGCATGAGCACCCTGGTGAGGACAGTGAGTATCGTGTCCTTTTCGGCATCTCGTCCTTGACACAGCTGCTTGTCTGTCCAACGTAGGCACCATGATTTGTCCAGCGCGCTTCGGTGTCACAGCCTCGGCTCTGAGGTCATTTGAAGCGCTGTCTGCGGGTATATAGAAGCAGTTCGCGCGAACATCGGGGTCGCGCGGGCGTTGCAGCAGTTTCTCCTTGGCTCAGCCGTCTGGCGGCGCTTCGCTGGGCTGGACCACGCTGCGTGTGGCAGGTGTGGAGCAGCAGAAGTTCTCCTCGCGAGCATTCCTTCCAGTCGGTCCGACGCCACGCTTCGTTTCGTGACGTGGGCCCCAGGGCCTGTCCACCCCTTTTCTGGGGGCCGTTTTCTTCGCCATGGGCTTTCTTGACGGCCCCAGGGCCCGCAAATGGCCCGCAGAGTACGAAATCGATGATGCAGACTGTAGATCTTGACTTGTTTCAAGACGGTGGACGTCCAGGCATTCTCCTTCCAGATCGTACACTTCCCCCCCGCCCCCGGACCGCCCCCAGAGTGCCCCCGCCGTGGCGACGAGGGGAACCCAGCCCCGTGGCGACAAGGGCGCCCCAGGAAGCCCGAGATCTTCCAGAAACCTCGGACCCCCGAACCACCGCCTCCGCGAGCGACTGCGATCTGCGGCCTCCGATCCTTCTGCACTGCGGTCGGGATCTTTTGGACAGCAGGTCTCTCCGCCAGTTCTGGCCCACCACGCTGCGGCGCGACGCGCTATCCACGTCCCGGCCCCCGCGCGTCAACGTCCCGAGCTTTTCCGAGCTTCCCGCCCCGCGCGAAACGACACGCTATCCGCTCGCAGGGCATAGCGTGTCGCCGGGGGCCGCCGCCGCGACACGCCAAGCAAAAGTCCCCGACCGTACGCACGAAGCGGACCTGACTACGTAAACTCCTCACGAGCTCCCTCAGGGGCGAGCTCCGAGGCCGTTGGTGAAGCTGCTCTCTGGTGAATATGTGAACTGCCTAGGCAGTTCACATATTCAGACTGGTGAGGGGGGGCCCGCAGGCTCCTCTGAACTCGTGGGAGGCCCGAGCCCGGCAGCACCCGCCACTGGACCCCCCCATCAGAGCCTTGGGCCCCTGTAGGTGGGGCTGGCGGCGACTCTCCCTCTCCTCTCGGCGGCGAGCGAGGGGGGGGAGCGAGAAGGAGAAGGCCTCCTCAGAAGGCGGCGGGGCATCTCAGAAGCGCCCATGCCTTCTGAGAGGTGCTCTGCGTCGTCGGGGAAGGCTCAGCAAACTTCTCAGACGGCCGTGGGGCTTCCGAGCCTCCTGAGAAGGCCCGCCCCTCTTGGCACTTCCCCCCCAACCTCCGGGCGCGCCGCCGATCCTCCTCTGCCCCCCGCCCCCTCCTGGGCAGCCCCCTCGGCGCCTCCTCCGCAGTCGGAGCGGCGGCCGCCGCACCCGCCTGGGCACCGCCGCCGCCGGCGCGGTCGTGGCGGCCGCCGTGGCCGCAGGCGCGGGGCGCCTGTCGGCGGGCGGGCGGCGCGAGGGGGGCCAAGGGCAACGTCGGGGGGGGGGGGACAGGCGCAGGGGCAGCGATGGGGGCGGGCCGACCGTCTCGGAAGCGAGGCTCGAGGTCTTCGGACGCGTGCGTCGGTGCTCAGCGGTGATCCAGCCTCGGGGTGCCTTCCAGCGGCTGCGCCTCGCCGACGGTGTTCCGGGGGTGCCTGGATCGCCCCGACTGGCCGCCAGAGGCCCGAGTCCAAGCTCGAAAGTCATCCGGAGATGGGCTCGAGGGGGTGGTGGTGCATCGGCCCCCGACCGTCCCATGTATCGCCGATAGGGGCTCGATAGCCCGGACTTGCCCAGGAACGTGCGGATGTGCTATCGCCCATCCATCGGCGATAACTTGGCCATTCAAGCTCGATGGTTCCCCTCCTGAACTGGTCCCCCCGAACGTTGCCCCTTACGCCTATTGGGGGGCCGTCGGGGACAATGGGGGGGTGCAGGGGGGCAAATCAAGAAGGAGATGTGGGCAATGTGCGCCACAGGCAGGAGCGGTCCGCATCGAGGCGAATCGGCAGGAGCCTGCGTCGAATCGGGCCGCATGCGTCGAATCGGCCGTGTCTGGATGCACGACGGCGCCATGCGAGCATCGGGCCGCGTCGGGTCGCCAAAGTATCTGAATCGATCGGATCGACATGGACCCTGGTGGGCGCCACGTGCCGCCGATACCCCCGGGACGGAGGGGGAAACGGGTCCTGATGTGTTTCGCCGCTTCGGGCCTCTCGAGGGCCTCCGCGGGCCCCGGGACTGTCAGGGAACGGCTCAGGATGACAAGTTGGCTTCCGGGGGAAAGCCCTGGGATCTGTGACCCGTCTCAGCTCAGGACCCGTTTCCTTCATGCCAGACGGAGTCTCCAGGGTTGAGGCTCGAGGATCCGAGGTCATCTGGAGGCCTCTGGAGGTCTCCGCGGGGGCCTCTAGAGACCATTTTGAGGGGCCCGCTCCAGGCCTCAAGGATCGATCGAGGATCGAAGATCTACGTCCTGGAAGAAAAACATGTGCTGCAATGGTTACGCAAGGGATTGTGCAAGAGGTTGTGCAAAGGTGTACTTCGATAGTATTCATATCTTCCATGGCATCGTGGTTTTTGAGCGTTTGTGGTGTTCGGTGAGCCTCTGGGAGGCCTCTCGCGGCCACGGCTGGATCACCCTCGGAATTTTAAACAGAATGCACCACTGCACAGGTCCTCTGGGAGATTTGATCGCCGAGCCCAAACGTCCGAGGCCTGGCAATAACAAGACGGAGGTGCTCCGTCGGTCTCGGCCTCCGAGGGGCGTTTTTCAGACTCCAGGGCAGTCGGGAAGTTGTCGGGTGCGAGGGAAGCCGTAAATAGTCCCCAGGAAGGGCTCGAGAATTTGGGGGCCTCGCAGTGAAAGCCACAAATGATACCACGTCGGAGGGATGGCTACTTGCGCCACGTTTGAGGCACTTGTGTTGCACTTCTGGCAACTACGCGTTACTTGTGATTTATGCATTGCTTGTGAAAGTTGTGCTACACTTAGGCTCACGGCGTCCTATAAATGACTACGCGATAACCGCGATACGCGGAGCTGGTCTCTAAAAAAGAGAGGGGAGGATTGGAAGAGTGCCAAAGAGATTCTCTTCTGGGCTCCGGACGATTTGATCCGTTTGGGGTATCTTGGGCGCCCTTGCAGCCACAGCTGGATCCGTGTCGGTGTTCTTGCCAGAACGCACGGCAGGGACGAGGAGGAGGAGGAGGAGGAAGAAGAGCAGGGAGATTCAGACCTCTGGCGTCACTACAGAATAGCCACGGCTGAATAACCACGGCTGTTTTGTCACAGTATTGAGCTCCTGGAGCCAAGGTTCTGGGCCCGAGGACCATCACATATTACCCAGTACAGAACATGTCCCAGGGGATCTGGAGTCGGAAGGTCCGGAGGCCCCCGTCCTGAAGCACGGACATCACATCGGATGTCCAGGTCCCTCTACGGGGGGGGTCCTACATTCTGGGGAGGGGAATCTCGGAGGTTTCCTGGCCACAGCGCTTTTCCCGACAGCTGCGCCTCCTCGAGAGCCTTCGTGCGGTGCCAGAGTCGTCCCGAACGGCAGATGGAGCCTCGAGCTGCGGCCAGAGAGTCGGTCGAAGGGGGGGGAGAAGGACGACGGCCACGATCACGGCCACGACCACAGCCACGACATGGAGATGCCCCAAAGCTGTTTTTGCATTTGTACGCCCTCGTCGCCACGGCTGGACTCGTTTCGAAATCCTAATCGGACCACGCTCCTGATAGGTCCAAGGGCCAACCTTGATGACGGGGGGGAGGAGGGGAAGGAGGAGGACGAGGAGGAGGGGAGGAGGAGGAGCAGGAGCAGGAGCAGGAGGGTATCCTCCGTAGCCAGTTTGGCTCAAGGTGGGAGCAGGTCCCATTTTGGCGGGCAGCTCTCTTCCGAGCATTCCAGCATGTCGTGCGCTGGCGGACACCCAGTCTCTTTTATATACATCTCGTTCCGTCAGCTACTTGCGTAGCTGTGGGTGAAGCTGTCCCCAGCGAGGTTTTATCCAGGGCCGCCAGTTCGGGGCCAACATTATCGAGCTAGACGCCTACTCTCGCGCTTACTCCATGGCCCCAGTGCGGAGATTGACATGCCCGCGCTGGTCGCCGTCGATGTTGCGCAAGCTTTCCCCTCGGCATCGCACCGCTGGATGCTGCTGATGTTTCATGCTATTCACCTGCCAGATGCTCTGGTCGAATTTATGATGATGCTTTACATGGAGGCCAACTGTTGCTCGGAATTTGGAGGCATCGTGGTTTTCATGCCACCGACCCTTGCTGGCATTATCTGGGGCTGTCCAACTTCAGGGACGATTTTCGCGGCATGTATGACCCCTTTCGTTTGCGACCTTGACCAGGCGATCGTAGCAACATCTCGTGGGATTGGTCGCCTCTGTGCTGACGACATAGGCGCGTCCATTGTGAAGCTGCACTACCTGTGCCAGCTCTTCAGGATGTTCAGCATGGCTGAGAAGCTAGCGGCCATCGTCCTCAAGTCCTGCAAATGCAACATTGTGATGCTCGTTGGCCCGTACCCGGAAGCTCTTACCAGAAAGTACTCGATGAAGATAGCCGCGTTGGCCCCGCCCTGGTCCTCGTTCAAAATCGCTTCCGCCATCAACTACCTCGGTGTGTATATCGGCCCCGAAGCTGAGCATCAGAGCTGGTCCGCACCTCTCCTGAAGTGGCGCCACCGTTCCTTTGAGCTCTCAGGCGTCGGTGCAGCTTGTTCCGTCTCTTCGAACGTGTACTCGTCGAGAGCTGCATCGGTGCTGTCGCACGTCGTTCCGTTCTTGCCGCCGCTGCCGGACCCTCCCCGCTTAGAGGCTGCCATGCTTGCCACGGTGTTCCACGTGCCGTATTGCTGGTTCGCTCGCTCAATCTGGTACAACTGGGGGGACTGGTGAGGTCCGAAGATCAGATCGCTGGAAATCGTTTGTCCCGCATCAAGGGTCAGAGCTGCATTGACGACGTCTGAATGGAGAGATTGTCGGAGTCTTTTATCCCGTGCTGCGCGGCAGCACCTCCCGATTCAGGAATGGCAGCGGCAAGTGCACTCGCCTTCGTTCTGGAACGAAGGCCCTCTGCCAGCACTTTGCGGAGGCGCTCGCAGGCTTCCCGAATTCTAAGAAGTACAGCGAAGCTGCAGACACGATCCTGATTACATCGAATGCCTTCCGAGATCACGTTTCCCAGGGACTCAGCCCCACTAGGTTCAAAATGCAGAGACAACTTGTTCAACAATTGACCCCAGCCTTATTCCCTGAGCCCCCGTCGGCCCTGTTTCGTGCCCGCCTGTTAGACCCGCTTCCTGGGGAAAAGGGTCCGCATCGTTGCCGTTGACTGGGAGGCCGTGCGCCTCGCCCTTGCCGCCTTGCCGACCGCTCTCGCCTCCGCCGCCGCGAGGACGCCGTCGAAAGGCTGGCTGACTCAGCGCCGCCCCCAGCAGACAGCGAATGTCCACTGCGTGCGGGGGTGCACGGAATGTATGGCTGGTGCCGATAGCATTGTCCATTACTGGCAGTGCGTTGTCTTCTGTTCTCTCCTTTCCTCGATTGCTGGTCCTCTCTCTCCTTGCCCGCTCGATCGTCTCGGCATTACTTGTCCCGCCAAGGAATTCATTATGGTTCCTGCTTGCAGTTATCTCTTGTGCAACGAAATTCGCGCCAAATCCCAGCGTGTCCTGAGGCCGCTTTCCATATCGGAGGCGCAGGTCCCCCTGCCCACAGTCCGCCACCAGCTGCAGCGGTAGCGTCATCCAGTTGCTGACGAATCCGAGGCGCCCGCCCACGCAGCAGGAGCAGAAGGGTTTCCTCTGGTTGTCGGGCACCCTGGCTGGGGATGGGCTCCCGCAAGTTGCACCGAAGCCCCACATAGTTGTGTGATTTTGAGGTAAACGAGAGGTGTCTTTCCAAGTTTCGTTTCATTAGGGAAACCCTGGGGGCGATTACGCTGCCGCGTCGGAGATAGAAACTTGCAGGTTGCAGACTCGACCAGGGAGCATTGCCCGCGCAAATCGGAAGCGGCACGCGTCAGAGTCGGAGTCCGATGACTTATGCGGGCGTTGGCGTAAATCTCGGCAGAGACTCATCATGATCTAGGTGCTACGATGTCTTATCGTGCCGCTGGCGCCAAGCCGCTCCTATGCCCGAGGGTGTGTATGTTTGCGTGGTGTATCACAGGATGTCCCAGGGCTGAGCCCCATTTTTCGGGGCTTGGGCTTGGCTCCTCCTGTTGCTCCCCTCCCTCGCTCGTCCTCCCCTGCCCCGCTCCCCGAACACATGCAGCTCGGCGTGCGCTCACCTTGGGCCAGCCGTGGCGCGTTGGGCACATCATGTCGCCGCGTCGTTTGTTTCGACGCGCGGCTTTCGCCTTGGTCAGGGCGCCGCGCACACCAGGGGCAAACGCCGCCCTGGGCGCGTTGGGCTCGCCGTCGGGTTGGCGGCGGTGCCAGCTTCGTCCACTGGGGGCGCGGTGCGCAGGAGTTGCCTTGGTCTTGCCGTGGTGTCAGCGTCGTCCGCTTGGGCGCGTCGAGGGCAAACGGCAGCGCATTGTTTCGCTGCGGCCCGATGGAAAGATGCTCGGGGTGCAGGGGTCGGCGCTCGGGGAGAGCACGCCGTTTTCGGCCAGACGTGTGGGGCTGGGCGCCCTCGGGCTCCCAGCCGTCGCTCCTCCGAGCGCCGCAGACGCCGAGAGTCCTTGATCCTCGAGATCCCGCCACCAAAGCCCAAGATGAATGGCACCGTCACGCCACTTGTTTGTGCATTGGTTCGACGTTTGGCGCGGACCCCCGCCCCCCCCCCTCCCTCCCTCCCCCAATAGACCAGATCTTGGCTGCTGTTGGCAGCTGCTTTTGGCGACAGGTCAGGACCCCACCCATAGCCAGCTTGCGCGACTGGCGAGAGCAGATCGACGAAGCACCGGCCCAGACCCAGAACCCCCCCTCCCCCACCCTTCGGCCAAAAACCGAAAGTCGGAATAAGAGCACACCTGCAGTGACCATCAAGGTACGGATGGAACACCTTCCCTTTCGGGCCCATCTCCTCCGAGCGTCGCAGTTGTTTTACGTGTCGTGGGCACCCATAGATCATCAACCCATTACCGGGGGCCCAGCTCTTCGTTCTGAGCCGCCTCTTTATGGTCCCATGGCCGTCGTGATCTTGAAGCGACGCACCGATCTGGTCGGGAGTTGCCACAAAGTGTCCGTGACCCAGGGTGTCCCCAGTTGCTCGTGCTGCGTTGTGGCGCTTTGGGGCCCCTTGGGCCTCGTGAGGGGTGCGCCGCAGACGATTCTGAGGACACCCAGATGAGGATACAACTCCTGGGAGGTTAAATTCAGCATCGGCGCTGGTATGTCCGTGGTCGAAAGCCGGCCCAATCCCATGAACTTACCCTGGGCCAATCTGATTCAATGGCCCACCAATCAGGCTTACAATGCCCCCCAGTCGTTCTCAGGAAGGCCTCCCAGAAGCTGCCCCCTGACCCGAGGCCAGGCACACCTCAATCGGGTCCAGAATCGGGATACATCGCTCCAGAGCGTTCCGGAACACTAGCGCTCGGAGAGGGCCGTGGTGCCCGATACATCCCTCAGAACCGCTGCATCTCAGAGATTCCCGATCTACACCGATCCGACTTTATCCAGATCCCACCTTCATTTTCACACCTCTCGAGGAAGCAAATGTCGTATAAACGCTAACTTTCGGAGCTCCGCGCGGATTTCTTGGATCGGCGCTGGAGCCCCCTGGCGGCGCCTTCGGCGCCGCCCCTGGCGCGCTCCGCGCGCCAGGGAGGGGGGTCCAGCCCCGATCCAAGAAATCCGCGCGGACCTCCAAAAGTTTATGTTTATGCCATGGTTCGTTCTTCGAACCTCTGGCAACACTCGGCGGCGGCCAAGAGGGGGGTGCGGACTAGGGGGGGACATCATGACCAGGGCCATGATACCTCCCCAGATTCCATGGCGCCTCTTCTTATTCTAGTACGTGGCCCCCCCTGGACCGCGCGCATGCCTCGGGCCTCTTGGACGCTCCCCTCCTGGGCGCCCACGAAGCAGTCGACCCGAGGGCCCCTTGGGGCAGCCCGGGCCCGGCGGCCTGCGCGCCCCCCCGCCTCCGGCGACGCGGCGCGCCCCCCCGCAGGCCTCTGCCGCCTCGGCGGGGGCGGCGCTGGGCACAGGCGCGCGCGCGCGCGCCGGCAGCTGCGACGACGGCGGCGACGGCTGCGACGAGGGTGGCGGCGGCGGCTGCAGCGGCGGCGGCGGCGGCGACGACGGCGGCGGCCGCGGCGACGACTGCGGCGGCGGCGACGACGGCGGCGGCGGCAATGACGTCGGCGGTGGCAACGGCGGCTGCTGCGACGGCGGCGGCTGCGACGACAAAGGCGGCGGCGGTGACGGTGGTGGCGGCGGCCTAGGCGCCCGCCCCCTCCGCGCAGGCGCGCCAGACAGGGAGGCGGGGGGAGCAAAAGCACGACTGGCGACTGGAGGGTGGGTCTGCGTTGAGGTGCCGCCATCTTCCTTCAAGGTTGTTTCGGTCGTTTTTGAGAGCGCAATGAATCCAGTTTGTGCGCTGACTAAACAAGTGATGCCTTGATGTTTGCTGCCCTGCTAAGCTGCATTAAGCCTGAACAGCAAAACTGCGCCGAGTGCAAAACCGGCAGGATACATTACATGCAGGCATTGCCTTCTTCAGTGCACGCTGCCACAATGCCTCCACGGTTCGGCGAGTCTGTGGCCAACTCAGACTTCGGGAGTGCCGACGTGGTACCTCACGTCCTGTTGATGGATGCTATGTCCGAATGGGCGTCGGAGCAGGCGTCGCAGCAAGCGTTGGATAGGGTCGATGTGTCAACCTGTTCTGTGGCTTGGTGAAAAATCGTTAGATAATCATTGGGGGATCTACAACTGGTGTTTTTGCAGTCCCAAAATATCCCGAAGATCTCCAGGGGAATCTCCAGAACAAATCAAGGAGGGAATCTCTGGGAAAGTCCCGGATTCATCTCTGAGAAATCTCTGGGAAGTGGAAAGTCTCCAAGATAGCCAGAGGAAATTGTACATATTTAGGAGATGTCAGAGAAATCATTGCGACACGATTTGTTGATTGGTTTTGTTAGCCGAGACTTGGTGTAGATTTGTTGGAGAGTTCTTGGAGAGTTCGTTGAAGATTTTCATAACAAAGATTAGATTTCAGATTTCGTTCAAAATTTAAGATGCGAAGGTTTGTTGAAGAATATGATTCCAATACATTTGTGAGGTCCAGGTTTCGAGGGAAGTTGTTTCGGAGATCCACGGGGGGAACAGTTTGCGACGATCGATCTAATCTAAAGCAAGCGTCGGAAAACGAAATAGAGAAACCAACATATGACGACGGCGAGGGATGCACAACGAACCCAGGATTGCGAACAGGCATCGGAACAGGCGTCGGACAAGCTGGAGCGGCCGAAACAGGGTTTAACACAGAAGCCGTTGGTGCATGCAGTTTTGGTCCGAGACGTTCGCCAATGCAGTCGGTACGTCAGTGGAGCTACGAGCGCTCAGCGCGTTGGGAATCAGCGAGAAAACTTGAAATCTGTGTTGCCACCACACGCCATGAGAGTTGAATAGCAAGAGCAGGTACGACCGAAGGATGTCCCCAACGGTCTTTGCTGGGAAGCATCAAGCCTAAGCAGCAACATTACACGACGTCAGAGGTATCGCAATGAGGAGGCCCTCCTCCTTCTCCTCCTCTTTCTCCTCCTCCTCCTCCTCCTCCTCCTCCTCTTCCCTCTTGGTCAGCCGGAACCTGCAAGAACGATTCGTTAATTGTCGAAGAATTGGAAGCGCTGAGGCCGTCCAACACATTGCGGCGCGAGCTCGTGCACTCGCCAGGCGTTCCGTCAAACTGCGAGCCCTGATGGTTGTGTAGTTGACCACCCAGGAGCCCCGCCTCTTCAATGGTCGTCCTCCTCCTCCTCTTCCTCCTCCTCCTCCACCTCCTCCTCCTCCAAAAACAAATCCTCCTCCTCCCTCTCTGCTCCTTCTCACCGCCCCCCCCCCTCCCCACCTCCCCCGTCCCGCCGTCCCGCCATCCTCCTCGTCCCCCCATCTACAATTACTCAATGTGAATACTACTCTCCCTCTTCCCCTGATGACGGTTTGAAAATGCTCGACCCCCCCCCGCGTATTGTTTGTTTACACACAGATTTCCCCGGAGTTGGGTTTTCGCCTTCATTTTTTTAAAAAATGCTGATCTCGCTGAGGCGCCGGCCTCATTTTCGGGCCCCGCTCGTTCCGAATCGTGCTTCCGCTGCAGCGCTGGCCTCATTTCCGTGCTTCCGCTCGTTCCGAATCGTGCTCCCGCTGCAGCGCTGGCCTCATTTCCGCGCTTCCGCTGGTTTCGACTCGTGCTCCCGCTGCAGCGCTGGCGTCATTTCCCGTGCCATGCCACGGCATGCAATGCAATGCTAGGTTGATGCTACGCTTTGCGGTGCTCTTCTACGCCATGCCATGCCGTGCTCTACAATGCATCGCGTACCCTTTCGGGATCATTGTCCTGCTCGACATCCGACTGAGCGACTAGAGAGGGGATCTGCGCCATGGTAAGGGATGGGAGGGAGGGGTAGGATGTCAGATATGACGCGAGCGCACCTAGCTTGATGCTCCCCCCTCGCCGCCCCCCCCACCACATCCTAAGCCAGGTCAGCGACACGTCTCCAAGTCGCGTCGCGAGCATCTAGATCGCACTGCCATCGACGAGTATTCGCCTGGACCTCAAGTGACGGTGGACGTTCTTCTATCGCTACGCGATGGCTGCAATCCTTGTACGGCCAGGAACTTTGGCTTAGCGTGTTGCGCCGCCTGTTCTGGCCCACCACACTGCGGCGCGACACACTATCCAAGCCCCAGCCCCCGAGCGACGTCGCGCGCCTTTCCCAGATTCCCGCCCCGCGGAGCGGAGCGACGTGCCATCCGCTCGCAGGGCGTGTCGTGTCGCGGGCCGCCGCCGCGACACGCTGCAGAAGTTTCTGACCATAGCCGATGCTTCGAGCAATGGCTTGAGTGGTGGAGTTTCTTCGATCGCTACGCGATGGCTGTAATCCTCCCAGACATCAGCTTTTCGCTTTTTCCGAGACGCGGTCCCCGACCTCTCGATCATTCCCCAGGGACCGGTTTTTCATCCCGAGTCGTTTTTCGACGGTCCTGAGGCCCAGAAAGGGCCCCGAGAGGCCCAAAAACCTGAACAAAGTCCGCCCCGTTTTTTTCGAGGCGCCGGATGTCTGGGTTCATCGCTCCGCGATGGCTGTAATCCCAGTGGTCCCTGGCGACGAGCTCGCGGACCGTTGCGCGCGACAGAGCGGCTCCTGCACCAGCGAGCGGCCGCCCCGTATATGCCAGCACAGCAGGCTGCTTGGCCTCCTGCTCAGCGCCGGCACGCGGCTGGCCGCCCGGCACGCCGCGCTGAGCGAGGCGCGGGGAGGGCCCGCTTCGGGAGAGATGCCCTCCCTGCCAGGGGCAACGGTAGGGGGTGCGCGAGGGGGAGGAATGGGTTTTCGGCAGTTTTCGTCCACGCCCGATGCGGTGCCCGGTTTCGTCCACGCCGACGGCGCCGATGCATTGCCGACGTCGCCGATGCATCACCGATACATCGCCGATGCATCGGCGATTCGGCGGGATCCTCGGGCCCGTGCAATCGGACCCCTTGTGGGGGGCCTTCACTTCCTCTTCAGGGGCAACGTGAAGGGGGAAGGCCTCCTCAAGGTTGGAGGATCGAGATTCGTTTTCTACACTCTTTGGGGCGCCGTCGTCGTAGCCACGGCTGGATCTGCCTCGACATTCTGGCCAGATCGCTCCCTGGGAGACGTCCGGGGATCGATGTTGGACCCTTGGTCAGGGGCCGTGCGAGGGGGGGATGTGGTTTTTGCCCGTCTCCGTCGGTTCTCAGGTTTCCCAGCCTCGGGGCGCTCTCCAGCAGCTCAGCTTCGACGCCAGCTTTCCAGGGATGTTTGGATCGTCCCGAACGGCCGCCAGAGAGCCGAATTATGACCCGAAAACCGGACGACGACGATCATGGGGGAGGATCGTTTTTTGGCAAGGGATTCTTGGCAATAACATTGATGATGAAGATGTGTGCGCGCATGGTTTGTTCTTGCTGGGGGTGAGATGTAGTGTCGATGCCGGTTTGGCCAGGACCATATGAATTCACATGTCGAATAAAAGATAGGGGCATACTCACATGTAAATTGCACATCCCCAGGGGGGACGGATAATCTTGGGAGGGGGGTAGATCCGAATTTTAGAAAGGGGAGTAGAGGCGGTGCAATATTCGAGGCTCGGACAATCAAGACTGCGACCAAAACTGGTTAAGTAACATAGAGGTATTGCTGTTCTTCAGACGCGACGCGGCGCAATGGCAGTCATCATGTCGGGCGAGATGGCTCTTAAGAGTTGTTTTCTCCGATGCCGCTTCCGCACCAGGTCGATGATCACCTATCGTAGCTTTCCGGAGCAAGTCCCAAGCTGTTGCTGCTGGTGCTCCTCTTCCCCACATTATTATCCCCCGTTCCCTCTCGATCCTCCTGCCCTTCCCCGTCCTCCCGTCCCCTTCCTTCCCACTTCCTCGTTCCTCCCTCCCCCGTCCTGCCTCCTCCGCCTCCTGCTCCTCCGCCTCCTCTTCCTCCTCCTCTTCCTCCTCCTCCGTAATTAGCCATTTTGGCTCAAGCCCTTTCCCTGATTTCTCCAACATCTTGGCTCCATCGCGCTGAGCGCATGGTGGTTTGAAATCGCTCGTGTGCTGTTGGTCGAGTTTCGTTGCTCTCGGTCTCGCTGGACGGCTACGTGGCCCAGGCAGCGGTGCATGATTTGTGTTTCGCGCGATAACTAAGAAGTTCAATACTCTGGAGGCGCAGGTGCGCATCCTTTGAAAGACGCTGGATTTTCTCTTGATCTCGCTGAGAACGTTCGCGATGATGAACGTGCCTTTTTCTTTGGCTCAGCTACACTCGCATCGACATCAACAGGCACACTGTTGTTTACCCGAGCGTAACGTTCACGAGCCGTCGCATGCCAACGCTCCTGTTCGTCAGATCTTCCCACAGGAGCAGTGTGTGCCTGTTCGTCGGCGGCACCATCGCGCTGGACACACTTCCGCCGCGATGTTTATCCGTGTTGCTCGGCTCCCAGGGTGGTTGACTCTCGGTGGCGGACTCGGGGTGCTTTGCGTCCACGATGCGTTCGGATGCCCCAGAGTTCCTCTCGTCTGACACCATTTGGTCTAACGCGTGTTCGCTCGAATACGAGATATGGTCGAAGGCATTGCTTGCCTTGCCCTTGGTGATTCCCAGTCTGGGCGTGTATATTGCCACTGGTAGATTGGCTTGGACTGTGTCGGCACAGTTTTCGGAGCTGTGGGCGGTCGTGCAGGAGCGTAGCAGCGCGGACCACAAGCATGAGCAATTGATTCTGGCGATTGAACATAGGAGTGACAAGTAGTTTGATTTCATTGATGTGCCCAGGCGCCCTTGCGATGCAAAAAAACATTTATCGAGGACCATTTTCAGGTATGTGAGAACGCTTACAAGAAGAGGTTTCGATGTTGAAGCCCTTGCAGTTGCCTCCCGCGTGAAGCACCTGCAGGAATGCGGTGCTCAAGTTCGTGGTGCTCTGCAGAAGTCGTGCCAGCAGCATTGGCAAGGTAGAGGCCGCTTTCGACGAGCACTCCCAGGCCGTGACCTCCGAGGTGCAGTCCCTGTCTAAAAACATGTCTCTTCGTGGCGGGAAGGTTAGCTGTCTCAGTGCGGGGGTGGTAGTTGAGGTACCCTCGGTGGCGTTGGTTCCGGAGAAGCTGGAGGCCATGAGAGGCGCGCTGCGTTATTCGTCTGCCAAGTTGCTGGAGGATGTGCGCCACCAGGTTCCCGATGCTAAAACGCAAAGCGATTCTGAAGTTGCCAAGCTATCGTTAACGACGCAGGTGAACATCACCGAATATATGCGTAAACGCATGGACAATTTGTGGGGTGGTTGCCAAGGTCGGATTAATTGTTTCAAGACGACGTATGTGATGCTACGACGGCGATTCGCACTTCCACTTTGCATTATGTCAGGTCGCTGGTCGCAGACCTGATCGCCGAGCCCAACAAGCTCGACATGGGGCTGCTCACTGCCTCGCTGGCCAAGTTGGAGGAGGAGGTTGTTGAACATTCAGAGCAGATCTTCGGCGCTGTGGAGCCTCAATTGCGCTGGCGTTGGATCCGGGAGAGCTCCGCGGACGAACGCCGCCGCCGCGGCCAGCACCGACGCTTTCCGCGGGTGTCAGAGCGACCATGGTCTTTCTTATGCAGATGGAGGCGGGAGTCGTTGGCTCGTAGTGTCAGTTCGTTGTTTGGTCCTCGTCCCCCTCCTCTTCTTCATTTTTCTCCTCGTCGTGCTCCTCTTCCTCATCATCCGTCGTCCTCTCAGCGCCCCCTCCGTCCTTTCCCCTCTCGTTCCCCCCCCCTGGTTGTCTCACGCTCCTTCCTCCCCCCTTGTTGCCTGCGGGGGTCTCTGGAGGCCCGTGGAGGCCTCCAGAAAACCACGAGATGATCAACAGCATCCGAAACCCTCGAGTCTCGATCTGCAACCCTGGGGGATCGACGAGAGAAGGAGGAAGTGGAGCAGGAAGAGTAGTAGGAAGCGAGGGATGGAGGAGGGAACGAGGAAGAGGATGAGACAGAGTAAAGAAAACAAGAAGAGGAGGAGAAGGAGGAGGGAGGAGGAGGGAGGAGGAGGAGCAAGAGGAGCATGGGAGCATGGGACAAGCAGTAGTCATGCCGCCGTAACGACAAGCCCCGCGTCGCCCGTAGGGCGAATGGACGCTGGCACTGGGTAGGGGCATGACGCCTAGCGACTCGCTGCCCCGCCGACGGGACCCCGCAAGCCCATTGTTCACCCGTCGCCTGCCGATCCTTGCCAACGGCTTTGGCCGACGGGGGGCTGCACTGGCCAAGTTCACCTGCCAACGGTTTTAAGCCGCTTGCTCAAAGAGCAGCAGGGCCAGTATGGGTGCCAGCCGACGAGCACGCGTAAGCGGGGTCTGCCCAGGGCCACTGTCACCACCTGAGAGAACGCCGCCCGGGAGTAGACCCGAAGGCCCCATGGGACTCACGGACCACATGGCCCCGCCTTTCCGCGGAAATACGCGATCCAGACACCGCCTTTGCAGCTGACGCCGCTGCAGATGGGCCAAGGTTCAGACCCATTGCGCGGATGCAGGGGAGCCGTACTCATCCCTGTCCGCCAACAAAGACGACCGCCTTCCTACGCCAGGCCCATTGCATCAACTGCTCATGACAGTGTGCCCCGAGGCAAGTGTGGCGCTGGCACCATGAAAACAGGTGCCAGGCCCCCGCCTGGGGCTGGAGGAGGAGCAAGAGGAGACGGAGGAGGAGGAGGAGGAGGAGGAGGAGGAGGAGGAGGAGAGGCCCTTCCCTCTCTCATCCACACTTTTGCCTTGGCACAGGCGCTGGGTTACCCGCTGGTCACAGTGGCCCTCGCGATCTCAGGCGCCAAGGGGGGGGCCTGCGAGCGCCGGACACCAGTACATTACAAACCAGGACTTTGCTAGATCAGGCGGGAGAGACCGGAGAGCGGATAACTTCTCGACCCGTGGGTGCAGCTTCTCTGGGGCGTGTAGACGCTTTGGTTTACGAAAGTCCCGCCTACAGAAGACGGCATGACCATACTTTGCGGGAAGGCGCGGGGATGTCTTGGGTCGGTGCCAGACTCCTCTCGGAGGCGTTTGGCGCCGCCCGCTGGCACGCTTCGCGCGCCAAGAGCACGGGAGTCCAGCGCCGACCCAAAAAGTCGGCACGGACACCAGAAGGTTCCTGCTGAGTCTGTTCTGGGATTTCCGGGGCCAAGTTTCGAAAAGGAAGAGATTCGACGTTTGAGGGTCGAGGGCAGCCAGATCTCAGCACGCTTTTGGCTTTTTGGGGGGCCGCCCGAGGGCGTCTCGTCGCCACGGCTGGATCCCCCTGGGGATCTTGGTCGAAGCGCGCTCCAGGACAAGTCTGAAGATCGCGACGGGCATGTCCTGGCCCTCCAACGTCCTGAAAAGTGAAGGCGCTGCCATCCCCCCATTCTCGAACTCCGCGGGGGCCGTCTCCCACGGCCCAGAGCCATCAGAAAACGATCCGGGCCCCGGACGGAAACGCGATCTCGGGAGGAAGGGGTCAAGAGGTCCCAGGGACCAACAATCAATCAGAGCATTGTAGGTTTGGGGAGTCTTCCTGTGGTTTTCGAAGGGTTCGCCCCCGTGGAATTTTCTTGCAGGTGCGCCCTGTTGAGAGCCTTCGTGGGTGCCGGGGCCCTTCCCGGCTTCTTTCGAGTTGTGCGGCCATCGGGCCTGGATCACCCCAGGGGCGCGGGATAGCCGCGCTTCGTGCGTCGCGGCCTGGGCCGCTGGGCGATCCTTCTCCAGCGCGAGGGCGCGAAGAGAGCTCGGACTCACGAAGGTGAAGTGGAGTTGGACTCTCCGTGTCCCCTCCTCGCGTCTCTGCCGCGCGCACGCCGCCTTCCTGCTGCCGGTTCAGGGTCAGGGGTGGACCCCGCTTGTGCGAAGTTGGGTGACTTTGGAGAGCCCGCACCTCCAGCACCCCTGGAAAGAGACAGGACGGCCGGCGTCCCTGAGCTCGGCCCTTCGAGGGCCCAGCTTCGGGTCCCAGGCTCCTTACAGTTAAAGGAGCAAGCAGTCACGAGGATGGTACGCTCCAAGATTTCCCAGGTTCCCAGGATTTCCAAGACCCCCTAATGATCCACATGGGCTGCAGAAGCGAGGACTGCCAGATACTCTCTGGAAATCTTGTGGCGCATCCTGAGCCAATCCCATCAAAACATATTTCCCGCCCTATACAAGAAGCCACCCCTGGTGCGAAATCTGTGGCGGATGGGTTGGAGAGCTCCAGGGCTTGCTGAAAAAAGCAGGGTGCCACGGAATGGTCCGGGTGTCGAGCCTATTGGGCCGCCCATCATGGCCTCCAAGGCGGCCCAGGAGGCGCCCAAGAGTGCTCAAGGATGATCCTCGGTGCCATCTTAGCAATGTTGGACATGCATGTCCCGAACAACACGCTCTTGGCCTCTGGGAAAGTCACGCGGGACCCCCCTTTAGCGCACAGGTGCGCCTGGGAGCGACCAGAATTAAGGGCTGTGGGTCCCTTGGAGAGTACGTAGTACAGAGAACTCGCAGAAACCTGAGGACTCTTCAGCTCGTGTTTCAGTGCGAGGTGGCGTATATTACATGCGATCATGCTGTATGCAGATAAAAAAGTATGGTATGGCCTGTTATGTGATAATCATATTATCAGGTATGTCACACCCCAGTATGATACAGTAGAGCCGTTGCCGTACTGGTAGCAGCAGTCTCTCATTTATGCCATATTCGGTTATGTTATGGTATACCTGTTCTGTCCCGCTCTGTTATAGTATGGTCTGCTGTGTTATGGTATGATACGTACTTTGGTACGGCCTTATCACACGCTCTGTGGTGTAATGGTGCGATTTGATAACACATGCTGTAGTATCGCATGTTGTGTTATGTTATGGCATGGTCCGTTCATTGTCTCATGGCATGGCCTGCTACAGCGTTGTATTATTTCCAAGTGTGCCACATTCGCTTATGTTATAGTGTGTGCGTTGCCGTGTTTAGCAGTCATAGAATATGCCTGCTGTGTTCTGTTTTGCTATGATGTGAGATGCGATGGTGTACCCCGCTATGCCACAATATGTTTGTTACGATATGGTGTGATTTGGCACGTGATGCGTTGTCGTGGTGTGTTTTGTGTATGACTCGACATACTCTGCTACGGTATGCGGTGGTGGTATGTTGTGTTGTGGTGTGGTTCGATGTGTACATGGTGACATGTCATGTTCGGCCATGGTATTGTATACCTGCTGAACAATGGTGAGCTCTTGCGCGTTGCACGCTATGTGTTGCCACAGTGGTTGGAATAGTAGAACTCTTATGGAGTGGTATAGTATGCTCCGTCATGTTGCACGCGGTTGCGACCCGCTCTGCCATAGCATGATTTGATGTGGATTGGTGTGGTTTATCATGTGGTGCGACTTCATGAAATAATGTACCATGTCAGGGTATGATGTGTCATTGCATGGCATGCTGTGGTATGTTGTTGTACTGGCATGGCTTGGTTATGATAGTATGATCTGCCTTGGTATAATATGTCACGATGGGCTATGTCATCGCGTGTATGATATGATATACGAGCTCGATGCTGATGTGTGTTTTTGATGTCGGCTCGTCATGTCTCATTGCTCATGCGTCGTGACGACTGGACGGCATGACGCCATGACGTCTCCCCATCGGGGCTGTCTTTTTTTTGGGGGGTGTAGTCATTCGTCGAGCACGTCAGGCGGAACACTCAGGGATCCCCAGAATCCTGTAGGGTCTGGCGACCGCGACATGACGGCGTCCTCGAGGACGGGAGGCGGGATATTCACGGATTCCCGAGATCTTGTGGGGTCTGGCGACCGCGGTGTGCAGGGTGAGCCCACGGGAGTTCTCCCCCTAAAACTTAAAACCTAACAGCCCTTAGTTGTCGGGTGGGGAGCCACCACCCTGATTATTGGAATCGAGCCCTTGTGGAGGCAGAACGGACTCGGACGCCGCCTGAGCTCAGAAGGAAACCCCTTGGCCCAGATGGGGGTGAATTGTTATTAATATTCGGATTAGAATGAGGAGGAGCTGGAGGAGCAGGAGTAGGAGGAGGGGAGGAGGAGGGAGGAGGAGCTTCATAGGGGGCTCTGGAGGATTCAAGGAAGAGGGGAGAGAAGAGCAGAAGGCGGAGGAGAAGAAGAGAGCAGAAGGAGGAGAAGAAGGAAGGTGAAAGAGAGAGAGAGAGGAGGAGGAGGAGGAGGAGGAGGAGGAGGAGGAGGAGGAGGAGGAGGCCGAGTGGCATCTGCAAAGCGCCAGTCACCTCTGCCCTGGGCAGGCTGGGCTTCACGCAGAATAAGAACAGTGGAGAAAGGAGGGCGGGGATGAGGATGAGGAGAAGGGGCAGGACCACTAACAAGAAGTCGGACTGCTACTGCTGACTCCAAGCATGATGCGGCATCCCGCTTTGAGAGTTCGAATTCCGTTCCGTGGCCCGCCCTCTGCCACAAGATTGCATCTCACCCTGCCGCATGCCCCGACGCCTCTTTGAAGCGAGGAAGGCCCTCCTTCGCAGAAGCCTGGAGGTCTCCGGAACCTCTCGGATGTCTCGAGGGGCCCCGCAGAAGCCCCCAAGAAGTTGCAAAACGCAGATTGAAAGCGTCGAATCTGACGAGGTCAGGCGAGCAAAAGGGGGGAGGTGGAGGAGGAGGAGGAGGAGGAGGAGGAGGAGGAGGAGGAAGGGAGGAGAAGCAGGACCAAAGTAAACCCAAGATGCATCAGCGGTGTTGCAGTACACCCTCCCGTCCTAAATCCGAATCCCCTAAGAAGTTCCTACAAGCTGTCCTTCTCACTGCGAGAAGCGCCCCACTGGAAGACGAGCACCCTATTGGCCAGCCATTTAACCGAGAGCCCCGTTTTGATCTGAACTGCCTTGCATCCATCTAGCGCGTCATAAGGAATGGGAAACCCATGTTTGAGATAAGCCGCCCTCAGTCCTTGTACTTGATGCTGTAAATTCAAGCGAATGCGCGCGGCGCTAAGGCGGAGGCCCCCTATTGAAGACGGCCTGTGGTCCATCCCTGTAACTGCTTCGAGTTAAAGCTTCAGGATCGTATAGGGTGAGGAAGTCTCAAGCGACATGCACAACCCGCCCTGCCGACACGCCTGTGGGTGCGACAGGGGGCAGTGAGATATGAGGAAAATGAATGAAGTAGGAGGAGGAGGAGGAGGAAGAAGAAGAAGAGGAGCAGGAGCAGGCGCAGGCGCAGGAGCAGGAGCAGGAGGAGGAAGAGGAGGAGGAGGAGGAGGAGGAGGAAAATGGTGCCGCCCCAGCCCCGCGCTGGGCTGCGGCCCAAGCGGGGCGAGCGGCTCCCGTAGGAGGCTGCACGGCTCCAGAGAGGCCCCCGGGTCCACAGACGCCTCTCCCTCCGGACCCTTCTGCTTCCTGGCAGGGGGGGGGGGCGCCGAGGCTCGCTCAGCGGCGCATGGATTGGCGTGCGGGCGAGGAGGCGCCAGCTGAAGGCTCCCGGTCGCCCCGCGCCGCAGCCGCGAGGGCCGACGAGTGGGGCCGGCGAGGAATCCACGGCTTTCGGAGGCGACGGTAGGGGCGAATAGCCCAGGGGGGAGCACTACCGTAGCCAGGGGCGCCCGTGGTCCATGTCTTCGGCAAGGCTCCCCGAGGACTGCGTGCCGTGCGCGCCCCTGAGCTGTTCGCCCCTATCGTCGCCTCTGAGACGTGCGTGCGCCGACACGAGTATCGGAAGTAGTGGTGAGTTTCCCTCCGCTCCCTGGGGCAGACAGTCGGACAGACGTTCAGTCAAGACGCTGAAGTGAGGACCACTTTGGCTTCAGGAGGCGCTCTGGTTTTCGGGCCCGTCCGTAGACCTGGGTCAGCGAACCTATTCGTGGCCGAGGCTCGCCATGGCCAGAAAAATTCCCTCGTTCCTTATCTCGTATTACACAGTTGTAGCACAGCGGTTGCATTGGCAGCCAGATAACAGACAGACAGACAGACAGACAGACAGGCAGGCAGACAGACAGACAGACAGACAGACAGACAGGCAGGCAGGCAGGCAGGCAGGCAGGCAGGCAGGCAGGCAGGCAGGCAGGCAGGCAGACAGACAGACAGACAGACAGACACAGAGCCGAAGTAAGGCGCCATGACAACACAAGGTCGAAAGAAAAAAACAAGTGCGCCACGCGGGCATACGCCGGACAGGACCGCGAGGCAGGCAACACGGGCACGCCAATCGCGCCCCAGCAGCAGCTGCGCTGCGTAGAGTCAAACAGGACCATAAGGATGAGAAATGTGCCAAGGGTGCCCAGGCATCCCTGCCTTTCCGGCCCATCCTGGAACACCGTCGTTTGCCAGCCCCAAAGACTCTTCAATTTCATGCCCGCGGGCCCCGTATGCTTACCACGCATTCCCATGATTCGGCGGCGCGCTCAGGGGGGTAGGGGGAGAGGGGAAGACTTCTTAGAAGCACCCCTGCTTCTTAGAAGGCGCGGGCCTATCTGTAGATGCAGGGCTGGCGCCTTCTAAGAATCAGCTTCCTTCTAAGAAGCCTTCCCACCTCCCCCTAATTTCCCCCGTGTGCGCGCCGCCGAATGATCCAGTCGCGCGGCAGAGACGAGGGCGGCGGCGATTAGAGCTCCCCCCGACGCCCCTCGCGGTGCGTTGAGGGAGAGATCCTGGGCGGGTGGTTCGGCTCCGAGGCGGAGCGGCCAGCCGCCCGCCCTCCAAGAGAGATGGCAGCGCCCCCTCTTTGAGCGCTTGTGGTCCTGGCAGGTGTCTTGTCGGGCGTCTTTGGGGGGGGGTAAGACGAAGCCAGGACGAGGATACAGGATAAATCGAGAATCTCTGAGATCCGGCGGCTCTGGAGAATGTATCGGGCGCCGCGGCCCTTTCAGAGCGTTCTGGAGCGTCCCGGAGGAGGAGGAAGAGGAGGAAGAGGAGGAGGAGGAGGAGGAGGAGGGGGAAGATAGTTTCCTTCGTCCTAGCTCCGTCCGAGGGGGGGGGGGGGGGGGATCGCAGTGACTCCGCAGGCCTTCGACGAGCTGGGGTTGTCCAGCCCGGCGTTCGCTCTCCATCTCGGCCTCTCGGGGGGCCGTGGCCGGGCCCCGGGGCCATCGGAGACGCAGAGCGGGGGCGGAGAGTTGGCCCCGGGGGGGAGGGGGTTCTGGGGGGACCTCGGCGGCCGCGGACTGGCAGGTCTCTGTCGTCGGATGTCCGGGTTCTGGAGCTCACGGCCAGGGCAGGCTGAGTCGCGGGGCTGCAGCTGCCTCCTCGGGGGCCAGATGCTGGGGGCCCGCACCCACTCGGTAGGAGAACTCCTGAGCGGAGGCGGGTCCCCAGCTTCTGGCTCTCTTTATCTCCCTCTCTCTGTCTCTTTGTTTGTCTTTCTCTCTGTCTCTGTCTCTGTCTCTGTCTCTGTCTCTCTCTCTCTCTCTCTCTCCTCTTCCTGTATATGATAGCACATGTACGTGTACACACACATATATATACACATATATATATACATACATATACATGTATATATACCTAGATATGTGTAGACATACACAGAGAGGGAGGATGCATAGGAGTCGCTCTCTCTCTCTCTGTCTCTCTATTCCTCTCTCTCTCTTCCTTTTATTTGCATGTATAATGATGTGTGTGTTTGTGTGTGTCTCTTCCTCTCTCTATTGACATATTCCTCTTCCCGATTTTTCCAGCCGGGGGAGAGCGGGACAAAACGTCACCTCCCCCCCAACAAAAAAACATCCCCCCAGGATCTGGAGCTTCGGGGCCCCTGGACGCCCTTCGAAGAGATCTCCCAGCCCTGCCGCGACTCCCAGGGCGCCTTGCTGGGCCTTGCCCAGCAGACCCAAAACGATCAGAGAAGTGATCAAAGAGGTGCAGGAGAGCCCGAAGGCAGCGCAAGACGGCCTCAAGACGGCCCACGAGGCCCCAAAGACGACCCAAGAGGCCCCCAAGACGCCTGAAGAGGTCTTCAGGAGGACTCCCAAGAGGCAAACACTTCCTCGATCCTTTGGGGAAACGTACAATCACAGCATCTTCGCTTGCTGTGTCGTAGCAGGGTTCACGACGGCCCAAAAGGCTCCCGAGATCGCCCCAAGACGGCCCAAGAGGCCCCCAAGAGGGCTTCAAGGCAGCCCAAGTGGGCCCCAAGACTGCCCGACGGCCTCAAAGAAGTTCACGAGGCGCAAGAGAGACCCACGAGGGCCATGGGAGGTCCCCATGAGGGTCCAAGATGGCCCCAAGAAGGCTAGTAGAGGGCTCAAATTCCCCTGGAAGGCCCCAGCACGGTCCAAGAGGAACCCAAGACGTCCCAAACGGGCTTCAAAAGGACACCGAGTATTGCCCAGAGAGGCGCCCAGGAGGCCTCCAGTGGTCTCCGAAGTCCTTGAGAGGCATTCGCGAGAAGACCCCCAAGAGGTTCTCCGATGAGGATCCTCCGCAAAAAAAACTGCGGCAGACAGGGAATGGTTCGCCTCGCCAGGCGAGAGCAAGGCGAGAGCTCCCACCATATAGCTAACACCGAAGTCTTTTCGCCGTCACACCACATGGTTGCCACAGCATAGCCCACATCACATAGTTTAAGCCGCAGAACTTCCACCGCCGGAGTTCCACACCTCACTCTTCGGGGTCTACGATGGCTCATATATTTGTTGTCATGCCGCTGAGAGTCGCTGGAAAGCACAGGGTTCCTTGGAACTTCTGAAATATTTGGAGGTTTTGGTTCGACGTCGGCCTCCAGGAGCCGCTGCAACCCGGAGGGCCTGAAAATCAGATCTTGGAGTAGAGAAAACTACCCCCAGGAAACAATTGTTGTTCCATATACTAGTGGTAGGGTTACGTCGTGTCGACGCGGTGGCGAAACCGGCGCGGGCGTTCAGAATAAACGCGGCCAGCGGTCAGATCGGCTGGTGTTGAATTTGAATGCGCGATCGTTCACGGCTGAAGGATCCAAGCGGTGTCACACATCGACGCGCAGGCCATTACGACACCTGCTGTCGCAGGATCCAACGAAGAAAGCGCGGGGTGTTGGTTCAATATGTTTTCAGAGACTCCAGGTGGCGTTCTCGTAGCCACGTCATCGGGCCCGCCTGGAAATTCCAATCAAAGCGCACCCCAAGACAAATCTATGTGGCGCACGGACATGTAAATCGAGAGCGAGAGCAAAGAAGCAACAGGTAAGGGGACTGGAAAGGAAGCGGCCAAATTGCAACATGCGACGCCAAGTGGCAACATATGCCTCAAAGGCAGAGAGGATGACGCCAAGCGCCAACATATGCGAGGTTTGAAGGACCAAGGTGCGCGGCGCAAAGCGGCAACGCAGTCTTGTTGTGTGTGTGTGAATGTGTGACTCTGTGAATGTGTGAACTTGTGAACGTGTGTATGTGTGAATGTGCGAATGTGTGAATGTGTGAATGTGTAATTGCGTGGAGGTGTGCATGTGTGAATGTGTGACTGAGTGAATGCGTGCATGTGTGAATGTGTGAATGTGTTGATGTATGAACGCGTGCATGCGTGAATGCGTGAACACGTGAATGCGTCAACGCGTGAATGTTTGAATGTGTGAATGCGCGAATGCGTGAATGTGTGAATGTGTGAACTCGTGCATGTGTGAACGTGAATGTGTGAACGTGTTCATGTGTGAGTGTGTGAATGTGTAATGTGTGAATGTGTGAACGTATGAATGTGTGAACGTGTGTATGTGTGAGTGTGTGAATGTGTGAATGTGTGGATGTGTGGACGTGGGAATGTGGGAATGTGGGAATGTGTGAATGTATTAATTTGCGAATGTGTGAATGTGTAAATGTGTGAATGTGAACGTAAAACTGTATGAAAGTGTCAAAGTGTGAATGTGTGAATGTGTGAACGTGAGTGCGTGAATGTGTGGCTGTGTGAGTGCGTGGATGTGTGCATGTGCGAATGTGTGAAAGAGCGTGTTCTACCGCTGCTGGCGGAAAACTGGGGTGGGTCACTGGGGGTTCCCAACCCGCCCCCCCCCCCCCTCGAAAACCGGGGGGGGCCACTACCGGTTCCAACCCCCCCCCCTCCCCCCCCAAGTCCATCATGGAAAGGGGGGGGGGTCACTACCGGTTCGAGCCCCCCCCTCCCCGTCGAAAACCGAGGGGGGTCACTACCCGATCGAACCCCCCCCCTCGCCGCCGGCAAACGATTCCCGCTCTTCGGGACAGTTGGACAATAGTGGGGATGCTGACGGTGGTGGTGGGGACAGGACAGTGGTGCGGGGACAGCGGGACAGTGGTTCGGACAGTGGTGGGGACGGTGGTGGTGGGGACAGCGGTGGGGGGACAGCGGGACAGTGGTGGGGACGTGGGACAGTGGTGGGGACGGTAGTGGTGGGGACAGTGGTGAAGGCGGTGGTGAGGACAGTGGTGGGACAGTAGTACAGTGGGGAAAGTGGTGGGAACAGTGGGACAGTGGAACAGTGGGGACAGTGGGGACGGTGGGACAGCACAGTGGGACAGCGGCGGGGACAGTGGGACAGTGGTGGGGACGGTGGGGACAGGGGGACAGTGGTGGGGACCGTGGGGAAAGTGGGGAGAGTGGGACCGTGGTGGGGACAGTGGTGGAGACAGTGGGGGCAGTGAGACACTGGTGGGGGCACTGGTGGGGACGTCGGGGACATTGGCGGGAACAGTGGGGACAGTGGGACAGTGGGACAGTGATAGGGGACAATGGGAACGGTGGGACAGCACAGTGGGGCAGCGGCGGGGACAGTGGGACAGTGGTGGGTACAGTGGGGAAAGTGGGACAGTGGGACGGCGGTGGGACAATGGGACAGAGGTGCAGTGGGGACAGTGGTCGGGACAGTGGAGACAGTGGGGGAAACAGTGGGACTGCTCAGTGGGACAGCGGGGGGGACAGTGGGATAGTGGGAACAGTGGGGACAGTGGGACAGTGGTGGGGACCGTGGAGAAAGTGGGGAGAGTGGGACCGTGGTGGGACAATGGTGGGGAGAGTGGGGGCAGTGAGACACTGGTGGGGGCACTGGTGGGGACATCGGGGACAATGGCGGGAACAGTGGGGACAGTGGGACAGTGGTGGGGACGGCGACGGTGAAAACACTGGTGTGGGGACAGTGGGAATGTGGTGGAAACAATGGGAAAGTGGAGGGTACAGTGGCGGTGGGGACAGTGGTGAGGGCGGTGGCGAGGACGGCGGTGGGACAATGGGACAGAGGTGCAGTGGGAACAGTGGGGACAGTGGTGGGAACAGTGGGACAGCTCAGTGGGACAGCGGAGGGGACAGTGGGACAGTGGGGACAGTGGGGACAGTGGGACAGTGGTTGGGGCCGTGGAGAAATTGGGGAGAGTGGAACCGTGGTGGGGACAGTGGTGGGGACAGTGGGGACAGTGCGACAGTGGCGGGGGCACTGGTGGGGACAGTGGGGACGGTGGTGGGAACAGCGGGGACAGTGGTGGTGAGGACAGTGTGCTGGGGACAGCTGTGGGGGATGTGGTGCGGACGGTGGTAGGGACCCGGGAGTCGTTTACTGGCGGTGAGCGTGGGGGGGGGGGGGGGGGTTTCGAACGGGTAGTGACCCCCCCTGTTTTTTGGAGGGGGGGGTTCGAACCCGTAGTGACCCCCCTCAGTTTTCCGGAAGGGGGGGGGGTTCGAACCAGAAATGACTCCCCCGGTTTTTTGGAGGGTGGGGGGGGGAAGGGGGTTCGAACCGGTAGTGAACCCCCCCCCCGGTTTTTTGGAGTGGGGAGAGGGGTTCGAACCAGTAGTGACCCCTTTCTGGTTTTCTGGGACGTGGGGGAGGGAGGGTTCGAACTGGTAGTGACCCCTCTCGGTTTTCCGGAGGGGGGGGTGGGGTTAGGGGGGGGGCCAGGGGGAAAGGGGGGGGAAGGAGGGTTCAGCAGTGTTGGGGGGATTTTTCGGAGTGGGGGGGGACCCCCGGCTTCCGGAGGAAGAGGGGGGGAATTTTCCACAGTAAATCGGCGGTGGATCACGCTTTCTCGAAGGTGTGAATGTGTGCAGGTGTGGATGTGTAAATGTGTGAATGTGTGAATGTTGACGTGTGAATGCGTGAATGCGTAAACGCGTGAATGCTTGAACGCGTGAATGTGCGAATGTGCGAATGTGTGAATGTGTGAATGTGTGAACTTGTGCATGTGTGAATGTGTGGATGTGCGCATGTGTGAATATGTGCATGTGTGCATGTTTGAACGTGTGTCTGTGTGAGTCTATGAATGTGTGGACGTGTGCATGTGTGAATGTGCGGATGTGTGCATGTGGGAATGTGGGAATGTTGGACTGTGTGAATGCATGAATGTGCGAATGTGTGAATGTGCTAATGTGTGACGGTGTGTATGTGTGAATGTGTGAAGGTGGGTATGTGTGAGTTTGTGAATGTGTGCATGTGGGAATGTGTGCATGTGTACATGTATGAATGTGTGAATTTATGAATGTGTGAACGTGTGAGTCTGCGAATTTTTGAATGTGTGAATGTGTGACTGCGTGAATGTGTGAATGTGGTAATGTGTGAATGTATGAATATGCGAATGTGTGAATGTGTGAAGGTGTGCACCTGTGGGAATATGTGAATGTGTGAATGTTCGAATGTGCGAATGTTTGAATGTGTGAATGCGTGAATGCGTGAATGCGTGAATGTGTGAATGTGAATGTGTGAGTGTGTGTATGAGCGTGTGTGAGAGTGTGTGTGATTGTGTGTGGTTGTGTGTGGTTGTGTGTGTGTGTTGTGTAGACGTTGTGTGTGTGCTGTTTGTGTTGCCTGTTCGGTGCCTGGCAGTGGTCGGCTCCCCCGCGGTTTTCGCAGGGACTCGCGCGAATCTGCTGATACCCTCCACGCTTTGGGGCCTGGGCTGGTCTTGCCGCCCGCGCTCCCCCCCGCCTTGCCTGGTCACCAGGCCTCGCACCCCCCATCCCCAGGGATTCGGCCTCGCACTGATTGCGCTTCCTCTCCATCGGCTGTATCGTCAGCCCTGCTGCCGCCAGCCTCCCCGCCGCCGCCGCCGCCGCTGGCCCCCTGGCGCTAGCCCTGCCACGCTCCTGGGCTGCTCTGAGCGGGCCCGGCTCCTCTTAGTCCCCCTCCCGGGCCAGCGCCTTGTCGTTCTCTCCCCTCCCTCAGCATGGTGGTTGAATTCGCCTGACGCGTCCCATTTTGCTTTACTCGCCAGCGCAGTCCCTCTGCCTAACCGCCGACGCAAAAGTGTGTTGTATATAGTGTGTGCGTTGTGTGTTGTGTGTTGTGTGTATGCGAGTGTGCGTGTGGGTGTGGTGTGAGTGTGTGTGTGTGTGTGTGTGTGTGTGTGTGTGTGTGTGTGTGTGTGTGTGTGTGTGTGTGTGTGTGTGTGTGTGTGTGTGTGTGTGCGTGTGTGTCCAATTCTCTCTCTCTCCCTCTCGCTCTCTTTTTCTGCGATCCCCTCCGCCTCTCTCCCAGGGGGTCGTCCCTCCTTGGCTCGTTCCCTCCCCCCTCGTCCCCAAGACGCCCGAGGCGGCTTCTTTGCGGGTAACTTGCCCTTGGAACGCTCGAACCCTTCCCCCGGGACCGGCATTTGATCCCCTGCTGCTTATGGACGGCCTTTCTTTTCCCGCGTGGCACAGCGCAGAAGAGTGATCTCAGAGGAGAAAAAGGTACCCATACTGCTACCCTTGCCTCGTTTTCCCCTGTTCGAGCCTCCTGGGAGGCCCTCGTCGCCACCGCCGGATTCGCCTCGAAGACCTGGTCAGAACGCACCCCGGGAGAGGTCCGGGGAGTAGTGGTATCGCTACCTTTCGGTTTCCCCATTCACAGCGGCGTCACCAAAATCAGCTACTCTCCCTGGGAGAGTATCATGCCGAAGGGTGTCCCAACAGCGCCTGGCCTTGTGGGAGCTTGTCGGCACCAGTTGTCCCCTGGCTGAGCGCGTCCGCCGACCCCAGGTGCAGGAGCGGGCAGACCAGAGCCAGCCCAGGAAGAGCGAGGGGCCCCGCTCTCTCGTGCCAGGCACCCGGCGCCTCGAACAGAGTCCGTGGAACAAGAAGCCCAACGGTCCGTGAGGTATTCACTTGTGGAACAAGTGCCACGAGCCGCCGCGACGAGCATGGTGACCCGAGCTCCCGACGCCGCCTCCGGGCGGCGCTTCCTGGGCAGGTCCCGACCCGTCGCCGGAGGCGGGGGCGGTTCAGAGATGGGACCCTTTGAGGGATGGGGCCCGAAGGACAGGAATGGATCCGAGGCTCCCTCGTCCTCGTCCTTACACCCCCCTGGAAAAGTAGTCGGCCGCGGCCGACGGCGGGAAGGTCGGAACGCGTGGTGCCCCGCGTGGGCATTGAAACTGAGGGGCGTGGGTGGGGCGGACCGCGCGCGAGAGTTGCATTGCTGTTCCAGGGCGCTGGCCTGCGATCGCGTGCAGATGTGCAGGCGATGCCTGCGCCCCATTATTGGACACGCCAGCGGTGCCTGCGCCGCGCCATGCGGGGTGCCTGCGCTGATAAAAGCCAGTGTCCGCGGTGCGTGCGCTCGCTGCGGCGCCCGGGCGACGCCGGCACCCCCTGTGATCTCTGGAAGCCGTGACGTGGGGACAGCGCCTGCAGTGTGGGGCCCCACGTCCCCCGCCTTCGAGCCGCCAGCCGGGAGCCGAGGGTCACATGCTCGCCGCGGGATGCCCGCGCGCGGCGCCTCGCCGCGGAGTCCTCTGGGCGAGCGCGGCGCCGCCCGGGCTTGAGCGCCAGCCCCTCGCCTCCCGCTGGGGCGCCTTCCCCCCCCCCACCACCACAGCGCAGGGCCTTCGGGGCGTCCCGCTCGCGCGGGTGTCCCTCCACACTGTGGCGGCCGCGCGCGGGTGGCCCCAGCACAGTGGCGGGCCAGCGGCGGCGGCGCGCAGGCGCGGGTGGCCCACGGCGAGAGCTGCAGTGCGCCTCCACGGAGGCGCACTGCAGCTCTCGCCGTCTTCAAGCGCGCCCCCGCCCTCTCTGGAGGTCCCAGCTTTCGAGCCGGGCGTTTTCGCATCTTTTCGGGCCCCGAGGCCTCGTAGCTCGGGCGCGGCCAGATGCTGTGATGGGGCCCCTCCCGCAGCCCCAACGGCTTGGAGCAACCCTGAGATGCTGGCGTCGCGAGTCGTTCACAACCAGCGATCTCAGCTGCCCTGCTACGCCCGTCTTGAAGCGCAACATGTGCCGTGTTCAAAACCTCTGGGTTGAACACGCTGCGTGTTGGCTCAACGTGCTGGTCACGTTTTGGCGAACGCATCGCGCCAGGCCTACGGCTTCAGTCTGAGTGTGGGTCTCCGCACCAGCACGCTATACGTGTCGCCTGCTGCGTATCGGGGCAGCTAAGCCGGCGATGTTGCCCTGCTTTCACAGGTCGGCCCAGCCCGAGACAGTCAGACGGGTCCCGGGGCTCCTGTCGCGCTTTTCTCCATTGTGCTGCACTTTTTCGCCGCGCCGTCGGATCTCGGGGCCGTTCGGCGAGACCCTGCAGCAATGAAAACGCCCCAGCGCCTCGCCTCGCTGAGCAACCACTGCCCCTTCCAGATCCACGGGAGCGGCACGTCGGTGGACGAGACCATGACCCGAAGCCGCCGCCGCTGCTGGTGCTGCCGCGGCCGGCTCTGCGCCGCCCGCCTGCGCCGCCCCGGGACTGGGCCGTGTTCCTCCACCCTCTGCCCGCCCTCGCGCCCCCAGCTGCTCTGCACCTCGTGCCTCACATGCCCCCTCCTCGGTCTCCACCCCGGGGCCAGAGGGGCGTCCCCTCCCAGCCCGCGTGCGACACGGAATATGTTGTGCACAGCCTTGTCCTTACAGCGTCGAGCGTTGCACGGCGCGCGTTGCCAATGACCTCGGATAGTAGATATGCGATCGTTTGAGGTAGTAGCTGCGCGAGTGTTACGCTGTGTGTACAGCTGCACATAACCCCCACACGCGCACGGCCGAGTCCTATCCGATCTTCCTTGGTCTCGGCCTGGCCCTGTCCTCGGCCCTGTCTTCAGACAGTTCCTTCTTCGACAGGGCGCCCACTGATACAGCATGGGACCACACGTATTGTCTCAGCAGTCCGCATTCATGTTCGGCCACCCGAACCAGCAGCATGCCAAATCATACCTGTACCGATGCCGATGCCTCCCATCTCCATCCGCCCTTCCCTCTGCCCCGAAGTGGCTTGCGAGTCTGTCGTGGGGCTCTCGCCAGGCCGCCCTGGGCCATCTCGGAGGCTTCTTCGGGCCCTCCAGGGCTGGCTTGGCGCTCTGAAGCCATCGTGTCGAAGCAAACAACGTTGCAGATACAGTACGTCGAAACAAAAAACGCAGTTCTTTCAATGCGCTTGTTGGGGCCTCTTCGGACACATGCGGAATGCATTTCAGCTTCTGGAAGGTATTCCAGCAACGTGGGGCCCGTCGTGGGATCACTCGCAGCCGTCTTGGGGCGTCCTGGGGCATTTGGGGGCTGTTTCCGGGCCGCGGAGATCGCCTGGGAGGCCCAACGGGACGAGGGGCATGTATCTTGGCATCGCTCGGACGTGTGCATTTCTTCTCGGCAAGCACCATCTGGGAGCATGTGGGATCATCTTGCGAGAAATGCACGCACGAAGCCGAACAAGGGAATGGACGTTCGAGCGATGGCAAGGTGTGGCTCGAGGGGCAGCGCTGCCCCGGCAACGCATCAGCCATTCGATGAGGCAGCCGACAGACTTTCTCACGCGGCCCGGCGCGCCCAGGGCACGGCTGCGCAGTGCCCTGCGAGGGCCTGGAATCCCAGATCGTGGCGTCGGCGGGGGAGCCAGTGATGCACAGAGACGTTGGCAAGCCAGGTGAGCGGGACGAGCCTGGGCGCCTTCGGCGTAGCAGATTCGTTTTAGAAGCTTGCAGCGGCTGCACGGGTGGAGGGCTGCTCTTTTTTTGAACGCGTCTCCAGCATCAGCTCCGCGCACAAGCGCTTCAAACATTTGCAACACATTCACTGGCGAAGAGCGGCTCTTGCTCAAGAGGTGACTCTCGCAAGGAGCGTAGATTCGCGCAGCAATTGCACGGGGTAGAGGGCGGCCCCTCGTCCGAACGGGGCTGTCGCCTGGGGTGGTCCGAGGTTTCGCGATGCGCAGCGCGCGCACGCATTCCCGCGACCACCCCCCGTGCTCGACGCGCCCAATTCGCTCCTTCATGCCCTCGACCCGGAGGAGGAGGAGGAGGAGGAGGAGGAGGAGGAGGAGGAGGAGGAGGAGGAGGAAGAGGAAGAGGAGGGCGGACAGGGAGCAGGATCAGAAGGAGGGCGGAGAAGTTCGGAGAAGGAGGAGGATGAGGAGGATGAGGAGGATGATGAGGAGGAGGGGAAAGGCGGAGGCGAAGGGGCGCGACATCTGTTGCGTGCAGCTGAGTTGCTCGGACGGGGATAGGACGAGGATGAATTCATTCCCGAGCGTTCGAGATTGCTCTGAGAAGGCCGCGGCGCCCGAGACATCTTCTTGAACCGCCACCCGAGTGTATCTTCGTACTGATTTCGTCTTAGGGAGGGGGCGCGACATCTATTGCGTGCAGCTGAGTTTCAAAGGCGCTCCTCGATGCATCACGGTCGCCTTCTGGCGCCCAGAGGCGCCTGGACAGCCTGTGAGGTGCGTCTGATTCCGGAGCCCCCCTTTTGGCGACCCCCTTTTTCGTCCATGCCGAAGTGAGTGGGAACTGAGGATGCTATGGCGAAAGCCATAGCCCTTCTCCTGTCTCTTCCTCCTCCTCCTCCTTCTCATTATCCTCCTCCTCCTCCTCCTCCTCCTCCTCCTCCTCCTCCTTCTCCTCGTCATCATGGTTCTAGGTTGCCCGCCAGGGCCCGATGATGACTGCGATTTGCTATTCACGGTCTGGATTTGATGCGTGGTCGTCGGTTGCTTGCGAGGCTCGAAGGCAACTCTGAAGAAGCCCGCCGCATGCGCCGCTTATCTTAATGGCCTCCGGCCTGTGCAACCGATCCGAGGCGCTCCTAGTGGTTGAGAGCCGCGCCCGCGTAGCGAGGAGGAAAGAGGTTTGAGGTTCGAGGTGTCCGGAGGTCTTCGCTGGTTCTTAGGTCGGCGCTTTCGCTTCCGAGACATACCAGGTCAGACTACGCACTTCTGGTTGTAACCTCAGCAGAGCTGGGGCCTGAACGAACTCCACACTTCGTGATAAAAGGAGGGCTAAACCCCCACCAGACCAGCCATGAAAGGGCGGCCTTTTGCCCAGTCCCTCCTGGAACCCTCCAAGACAGATCATATCAGACCACCCCCCTAAAAAATCAGACCCCCTTTTTTTCTTTTATGTAAGCCCGAATTTCGCTTCTTTAGACTCACACGCCGGATCGGCGGGTTCGTCAAAACTACGCGGGTGGGTTTCAGCCGGGTCGCGGACGGGTCGTGCGCGGGTCGCGTGTGGACGGTTCGCGGGTGGGTCGCCGGCGAGCGGCGGGCGCCGCGTCGCGGATGAGGTCGCGGGCGGGCCATGTGCGAGGACGGCGAACAGTAACAACAGCAATGGTCGTTACATTTGTCGCTTTTCGTGCCCGCATGTTACTTGACATGTATTACACGAATACCCCCAAGCCCTCGATACCCGCACTCCGTCTTCGATCGTACTCCCCTTTGGGGGGTTATATGTTCCTTGCCTGCCACGTGTCGTTGGCGCGGCCCCTAACATAGGAAGGGGAGGGATAATTGAAAAAGAAAAAGGGAGGCAGCGAGTAAGAGAGGGGGAAACGAGAGCGGAGGGGGGCAAGAGCGAGATATTTACTAGAATTGAGGGCGAACAGACATATTTAGCAGGAGTGGGAGGAAAGAGAAACAAGTGTATTGGTAGGCGGACCCTGACGGGCGGGGCGGGTGGGCAGACCCTAACGGGCGGGTCGGGCGGGCGGACCCTAACGGCCAGGTCGGGCGGGCGGGCCGTAACGGACGGGTCGGAGCAACGAATCGATTTTCGTAAACAGTGAAGAAGCTTGGGGCGAGAGCAACGATTTCTCAGTAAATCGTAAGGAAGCCTAGAGCACGGTTCCTGAACGCTGAGGGCGCGGCCTGTTACTCAGTTGCAAGGAGGTCCCAAGCGAGAACGCGATCCTTGTGCGAATTGCAAGGAAGTCTCGAGCGAAAGCACGACTCCTTAATCAATTGAGGAAGCATCAGGCGGGAACCATTGTTGTTGTAAACCAGTGGCCAGAGACAGCTCGAGCCTCAAGGCTTTCATTTGTCAAAACCAGGGTGCGAGCCCTGGGGTGCGCATTTGAATTGAAAATTGATAGGGCACCAGGCAGGGGGGATCATAACAGTTTGTTTTTAGCGAGAATCCGCACCGCGGAACCCCATTTCAGCCACGCACCCCGGGACGGTGTAGGACCGTTCGGGCCCTCACTCTGACATAGGCGAGGTCCCTTGAATGCTGCCCCAACCTCTCCTATGCGTGCGAACTCCTCCCTCTCTCTCCACCGCTGTCTCTCTCACGCTCTCTCCGTCTCTCCCTCTCTCTCGCTCTCTCTCTCTCTCTCTCTCTCGTTCTCTTCCTCTCTCTCTCTCTCTCTCTCTCTTTCCCGACAAGGCCAGGTGCCTGGCACTCTGCCCCAACCCGCCGGGCGAAAACTTGGTATCGGTTTATTCCTCGATATACGTTCGAAAAACTGCTCGCACTCCTGCAAGTTTTGTGGGCACGCGATTTTGCGACTTGATCTCGAGATTTCGAGCAGCTGCAGAGGTTCCCTGTGTACCAAAAACTCTAGCTGCATGGGGAAAATAGTTTAGAGGTTCGAGAAGCCTCAGATCGGTCGCGTCCTCGAGCTATGGCCAAACCAACTGTTCGCATACTGCAAATTAATGGAAAATCTTTGTTTCCTAGACTTGGTCTCGAATTCAGAGCAGCGGCAGAGGCTTAGGTGAGACCATTAGTTCAGCAGCACAACCATGAGTATCACTGCAGTCAGGAAGGAGCATCAGTTTAGAACTCCACACATAAAAACAACAACACAACATGATGCTTTAACTTGTTTCCAACGTCGAGCAGGTTGGCAGAACGAACTGCGAAGCACAGGCAATTACCAAGGCTCAGTCTCATGTTTCCGCAGACACATGAGACATGAACCAGAGGGAGCGCCTGGAGCAGGCGGCAGGGGCAGGTGCCGAATCACCACGAGGCGCCGCCCGCCACCTGCGCAGGCGGCCGCCGTCGGCGAAGACCTGCGCAGGCAGAGCGCGGCGGGCGCCGGGCCCGCGCTGCCGCCCTCGGAGTTGTCGCAGTTCCCACGGCCGTCTGCGCCGCGCCCTCTCCCAGAGGTGCGAGCCCCGCGTTCTCCCTCTATCCATCGCCGTCGCTCTCACGCTCTCCCCCTCCCTCTCTCTCTCTGGCTCTCTTTCTGCTGTGCTTCTGCCTTTGCGTCCGGCTCCCTGTCGCTCCAGGATGCAGTTTCTGCAGAGCAACTACGTCGCCGACCATGTGCAGTCCAGCGCCAAGTGCGTGACGATGAAGAGTGGGAATGGGAGCTGGCGGGGTCGAATTCTGCGTTCAGGCTTTCCAGGGAGGGCCTCGTCTTCGAGGAATCGAGAAGTTGGTATCCCTTCCTCAGCGGAAGGCTTGCGGTATGCGGCAGAACTAAAACGGGGGCGGCTCCGCCATCGGAAGCTGGCGGAAGGCCAGCGGAAGACGGTAGAAGTAAGAATCGCCCCCTCAAGAGTTGACAAGTTTTTGAGGTTCAGGGATTCCAGGATCGGCCACCTGGGAGGGCGCCCTGATCGACCCTGATGCCCGGGCGTCGTGAGCAGACACGACGGGCGTTCTTTCCCCGTTGTGGGTGGCCCCATGACTTGCACAGCTCGGTCTGGCCACAAAGATCGGATCCGAAAACGGAGTCGAGGGCTCCTGTCGTGATTGCGCCATTCCTCAAGCAGTGGTGAGGCGTCTCGGCTTGCCTGAAGGCCAGAGAAAGTTCTAAAAACGTTTTGCGAATTTCATTTAAAAGCACTTCTGGCCAGACGCTGGTTTTATGTTTCACGAACATTGAACTTGTCATTGCAACACTACTGATCCTAAGAGCATGTCGTGGTAGGCCTATTAGGAATGCCGGGACATTCGGCCTCTGGTCAGATGGCGCCGCGCTGCTTGTTTATTTTACTTTGCGGCCTCGGAAGCGGGGTCGGCACAGTGGGGGCGCACGAATATCAATCATAATGTAGGGAGTGTTGCCAGGGTGCGGCGGGTTCGTAGCTTCGACGCGGCGGCGACGCCGGTGCTAGCGACGCCGGTGCTAGCGTCACCGCGGGGATGGGACCCGCGGCAGAAAATCCATGCAAAGGATGTGGTCGACAGCTTCTCGGGGCCTCTCTTTGGAAGGGGATCGTTCCAGGTTGAACCGCCAGAACGGTGACGGAACTTTGATGAGGACGATGACGATAATGATGACGATGACGATGACGATGGCGATGACGATGACGATGACGTCGTCACGGCAAGACCTTGCTGCAGGCGACAGGCAAGGAGGGGTCCGCTCTGTCAACGAGGCACCACCGCAGGAGGCGTGGCCAGCCGCCCCGGCAGCGCCACAAAGGAAAAGCCTCCCGCCCCCGCGCAGAGGGGCCGCAGAAGGTTCGAGGAGGAGGACCCCTCCCCTCCTCTCCTCCTCCTCCTCCTCCTCCTCCTCCTCCTCCTCCTCCTCCTCCTTCTCCCCCTCTTCTTCTCCTCTTCCTCCTCCTCCTCCGCCTCTTCCTCCTCCTCATCCTCCTTCTCCTCTTCCCCCTCCCCCTCGCCCTCCCCCTCGCCTCCTCCTTCCCCTCGCCTCCTCCTCATCCGCCTCCTCCTCCTCCGCCTCTTTCTCCTCCTCCTCTTCCTGCTCCCACTCCTCCTCGTCCTCCTCCACCTCCTCATCATCAGCAGCATCATCATCCTTCTCCTCCTCCTCCTCCTCATCATCATCCTCCTTCTCCTCCTTCTCTTCCTCCCCCTCTCGTCATCACCATTATCATCGCACAACCCGAGGCGCCAGGGGCATTCCACGAGACAAGAGAAATGATACACAACACAGTGGTTGATCAGCCTCTCAGTCGGATGTGAGAGGGCATACCAATCCTTCACTGAAACAACGCGGCACACATATGAGGCACGCGGCCAGAACACACACACAAGCAAAACAACAGCAACGGATTCCAGATAGGTGTGTGCGCGTGTGCTTCAGAGACAACCACAGCACATCAAGCTACGATGCAAGCGCTCAGATCACACACTTGCAAAGACAAATGACATTGCAGAACATTGAATGCAAGAGACGTGCGCGCACAAAAGTGACATACTACTGCTGCTCACACGATGCATCGGAAGGCGGTCCGATTCCACAGATGCCTGGGGTGAGCCGCGCCTGCCGCCGAACAAATGGACGTCCCGTGGATGATGCCACAGAGGCCAACCACTGCTCCAATTCCTCGAGACGTTCGTTGACGTAGTTAACCTCGTTCCTGCGGCGCACAAACGGTTGAGCCTCCGCACGGCAGCGCACCCGACCAGGGAAGGCGACGATCTGGCGGTGCATCTCCTCCAGCTCCTGCACAGCCAGCCAATCCACCTCCTCCACGAGCAGATCCACGTCAGTGTCCAGGGCCGCGTCGTCAGACTGCTGGGCATCTTCCTGCTCCTCGTGCACCGTCTCCATGCAAGCCACCACGGCAGGATGACCACGCCGCGCATCAGCACCAGCAGCCAAGCCCCCAGCGCCAGCGCCCGCCACACGCGGTTGCCCAGCCGCTTGGGCAGTCATCCCCCGCAGGGGCCCTCTGGCCGAGGCACTGCTGGAGGTCCCCTCCAGCACAGACAGAGATGCAACGTCGGCGGAGGAATGGAATTCGCCCCCGCCCGACGAGCCCTCAAACTTCCCCTCGGGAACGACGGTCGGGCCAGGCCGCCTTGTCAACATGAAGCACGGGCCAGGCAGCTCGAGTAACGAGAAGACAGTGGCCCCGCACGTGCACACGATGATAGATGGGAGCGGCTCCCACCGTCCAGCCCCTGGAACGACTGCTGCCGCCGCCCCGCTGCAGCCTGTTGAGCTCCGTGCTGCTAGCTAGGGCGATGACGTCCGCTGGAGTGTCGAACACGTGCTCGGCCGCGTTGCGCCTGGCCCTGACTGAACCAGGGATGGGCCTGCCCTGCAGCTTCGCAGCCAAGACAGGAATGATGAGCAGAATCCTGCGACCCAGCTCGGACTCGGGCTCCAGCGCTTGCTCGAGCTCGCGCACAGTCCAGGGCGCTGGCAAGTCGCTCCGTGAGGGCATCCACCTCGTGCCTCGCCGCTGCGAGGCCTGCATCCGCTGACTCCAGAGCCCGCCGCCGCGCCGCCGACCGCTGAGCTAGGCTCCTCCGAGGATCGCCTGCCTGGCAACCCTTCCCGCAGCCGTCTCCTCCTGCATGCACTGCCATCGTCCGGAAATGGCTAAGGCGGAAAGCGGGACAAAAAACAGCTTGAGCCAAAAATGGCTACGCTCCTCCTCCTCCTCCTCCTCCTCCTCCTCCTCCTCCTCCTCCTCCTCCCCCTCCTCCTCCTCCTCCTCCTCCTCCTCCTCCTCCTCCTCCCCCTCCTCCTCCTCCTTCTCCTCCTCCTCCTCCTCCTCCCCGTCCCACGCTCCTCCCCTCGCTATCTGGGCCTGGGTCCAAGACCCAGGCCCAGGAAGCAAAAGGGCGAAGCGAACGCCAAGAAGGCGCAGAGCGCGCCCTGCGGAGCGCTGGCGGCGCCGCGGACTCGGCGTGCTTGCTCTTGCTCCTGCAGGGCTCAGAGCCAGACGCATGCACGGAAGCCTGCGGGGAGGAGGAGGAGAAGAAGATGGGCTGGCGCACCCCAAGCTATCGCCCCGCCGCTCTTCTCAGAGAAATGTGACGAGAGAGGGGGGGGACATCAGGGCGGGGGCCATGATATCCCCCCAGGTTTCCTTGCGGCCCCTAGTCTTATCTCATCACGTCCCCGACCCTCCAGTGGACCGCGCACGTGCCGCTGGCCATGATTTCACCCCCCCCTCTTGGAATCCCCCCTCTTGGACGCCCACGAGGGAGGGGAGGATCACACGAAAAGGGGGCGCACAGGGAATGCCGAGGGAGGGGGTGGCGGTACGACTTCTGCGGCATGCACCCAGGTTCGGCCCCGCCGCCAGGAGCCCTCCCCTCGAACACGCTGACGTCTCCAGCGCCGGAAGGCGCGGGATGAGGAGGCCGCGCGAGCTGGGTCGCGGACCCCCACTTTCGTTTCCCGGAGTCGACGAGAGGGGCGAATAGCTCAGGGGAAAGCAGTACATGTATCCAGGGCCTCTGATCGCCGATGTCTTCGACGAGGCCCCTGGGCGAATACGTGTCACGCCCGCCCCGAGGAGAAGCACGGACCACCGCCACCGAGAACCCACTAGCGGGGGGGCCGACCCCTGGGCGGTGGCACGCCGGAGCGTCATCCCGTATTTCTTGGGTGGTGCTCGGGCGTGCTGCCGCCCAGGGGGTCGGCCCCCCCCTCCCACCGATGGGCTCTCGGCGGTGGTGGCCCCTGCTCCTCATCTGAGCTTTCTCATGCAGTCGGCCCGAGGTATAAGATCGAGGTCGGTTCGGGGAGGGTTCCCCAGTGCTCTTCGTGTTTGTTGGACGTTCTCGTGCATCCTGGGGAGAGGCTACCCTTGGATGTTCTGTTTGTCTTGGCCGACAGGGGGTCTCATGTTCTTGAGGGATGCTCTTCTGGCCCAGGTCCGACTGCATCCCCCCCGCCTCGTCCGACCCGACGGGGCGAGGCGTCGGAGGACGCCCCCTCCTCCAGGGGGCGCCCTGCTCCTTCTCGAAGGGGTTCGCGCGGCGGTGCGGCGCCCCGCGACCTCTCCGCCCACTGGGCGAAGGGCCACCAGAGGAAGCTCTCCCCCCTCGAGGGCCCGGGGATGCGCTTCCGCGGCAGAGCGGAGGGCGTCGACGATGCGCCGGCGCCAGCGCCGGCGCCGGTGTGGCGGCAGGTGCAGTGGCGACGGCGGCCGCGGCAACGAAGGTCACGGCGGCGAGCGGCGACGGCGGCAGCGGCAGCGACACAGAGATCCAACGGATTGAGAAAAACAAGCCGGAGGTTTTTCGCGGTTTCCGGCCTCCAAGTCCCCAGGACCGTCGAAAAACAACTCCGGATGAAGAGCCAGCCCTGGGGAATGGGTCGAGAGTTCCAGGGACCCCGCATTGAACACAAACACGACAGACAGCGACGCCAGCGACGACGAAGGTAGCGAGGACGAAGTCGACGGCGACGGGAGGACGGCCGCCTCGCAGGGGCCGATTCGATGTGCCAACCTCGAGGGCCGCGCGCGGGCTCGCGACCGCGCGACGACGATGCGGCGGTCCAGGTCGGACGGCTGGAAGAGCAGGAGAGGCCTTGCCCCCATGCCTCCTCCCTCACTCCCCCCTCCTGGAGAGAGCTGCAAAGAGGGGAGGAGAACGGGCGAGCAGGAAGGAGGGGAACGACGACGACGA